ATTATATATACGACAGTGCAGCACACTCTAAATTCTACTTATATTAGCCACCTTCACCTTCAGATAGGTTAAGCTAATGTTAGCCTTTTTAGTGCTGCCGCTACATATTCAACAGGTTATGAGCCCTGTCGCTTTAAAAGAGAATCCGTTGTCTATTAAACTCTCTGGACCCAAGCAATTTAAGACTTGGTTTATCCGTTTAAAGCAACATCTAATCCGTCATTCCACTGAGTGGTCTGAGTATGCCTCAACCGGCAATATTTCTTCTGTCATCGAAGAATACAAAATGTCTAAACAGGCATCCAACACTGCTATTCAGTTATTAAGTAGTGCTTTAATTGATCTAATCAAACTATCCACTGAGGGTGAAGCTAATAATTTGGTGTATAATATTAGTGACACTAACGAACTTCAAAGTGGTAAAAACTTATTAGACACTATTATTAATACGTATCAGATGTCAAATGTGCGTTATAATTCTGACATCTGGACACCATTGCTTGACAATGCTAACAAACCATTAGAAGACAAGATCAAATATGCAAATGATCTTGCTTCTAAAATTTTTGAACCAAATGAATTTGACAAAGAATTCATGAACAACTGTTCGCCAGCTATCCTTTTAAAATACAAGGAAAATATTAATTCCAAGAAGAATGATTTTATTGGATATTTTTTATTGGCTTTATGTCCTGACTCTCAGAAACATTGTCTAAGTTTCATGGGTAATCTTACCAAGATGAATCACGTTGAACAGTTAGTAATAATTTCTTACTAAACATAAAATTGTAATAACCAAGTATTGCTACTTTCTATATTATAACAATAAGTATCGCTACTTAGTATTTCCACGACATATTATTATATTTCATTCTTATGTTTTCAACCTTTTCAGATACAATAATAAAACAAGTTATTAGGTTGTATAGTGTAGTGGTTATCACTGTCGGTTTTGATCCGACCAACCCCGGTTCGAGTCCGGGTACGACCTTATTTTTGATTTTTGTAGGTCCACCTCGATTCTAAAATATAAGGCTCAGTCACACTCTTTATGTGTTTCTTTAATTTTTACCTCAAATAATAGTAATACTAATAGTCAAGTTGTTTTATACTTTGGTTCTTATTCTTCTGTATGTTATAAAAATATTAAGTAGAAAATATTTGGTAAACATTTGTAATAATAAAATAATTCAAGTGTGAGCTGACGCTTGCATATTAGAGTTACGTCTGGATTTGTTCATTGTTAATTGTTAAGGTAATAGGTTTAGTAGTGGCTTATGTATATATGGTTATAGTAAAGTAAGTGGCATATGTTAATCCTTTCTGTTAAACAGAGTTGCTGTTGTTAAACTGCTCATCTTTTGTGCATAGTAACGTTGGACTATGTAGCTCCAATAAACCCAATGTAGGGGGAACGAATACTACATTATGCAGTATATATCATGTGTTATTATATATACGACAGTGCAGCACACTCTAAATTCTACTTATATTAGCTACCTTCACCTTCAGTTAGGTAAAGCTAATGTTAGCCTTTTTAGTGCTGCCGCTACATATTCAACACTTTCTTTTATTTTGAAGTGGTTTTTTATTATCATTAAAAAAACACGAAACAAATGGATTCTAAGTTAGAGCGTAAGTTCAGAATACTGTCTTTATATATTATTTATTTTCTTGAAATTCTGTTTCTCTCATTATCTAATCGTTACCAAATGAAATTATTTCCTAAACTTTTTATCATCCTTTCCTTATGTAATGTCTAGTTTGTATTATCTCTAGGGAATTTGAGATATCTTGCACCCGCATAATTGCTGTCAAAATGTTACCTACAATAGGCATTAACTCATTAATTATCGTTTCTTGATGGTTTAGCTGTGAAATGATGTTTAATGTGTATTTACGAACTTAAAAATGCGGGGGATGTAATACAAGAGATATTCACATAATATGGAAGCTCAACTGCGGAAGAATGCATGAGATATTGCCCTGTAACGTTTGTCAACATTACAAAAAACCATACATTTTAAATCTCTTTTCAACAAAGAAGCATATGTTTAATCATTCTTCAACTAACGTGACGTTTTTATTATTTTCTCTCTCCTTAAAGAGCCACTAATGTTATAATACCGTCATCATAACACCGCATGTGACGAACCCGAAGGAAATATCCATCGGAATTAACCATGCTACAACCCACCTCCATAATAAGTGATTATAATGATGATGGACAGTACCTTATAGTGCCGCCCATGAAATCAACTACATATATTGATCGAAAACTTTTGAACTTTAACAAATAAACATTGATAAAAAAAATTCATATAATAATTTGTACATAGCTAGTCATTAATTGAAATTCATTTATATATGTATGTATATATATAAGGAGGATATAATTCGTTTCTCTCTCTCTCTTTTGGTAATTACAATTAAGTTGAGTTTCTCCCTTGATATTCTAGTTTTGCAATACGTTTCTTAAGGTCTTCATTCTCTTTTGATAGCAAATTCAGTTGAATTGACATCTCTTGTGATCTCCCATATGATAACATTTGACCCATTTCTTTATTTTCTCTCGCGAGAATCTCTAATCTATTCATCAATTTATGTGCTACAGTTTGTGGATCGTACCTACCTTCCTTTGTGATATTGTTTGTTGGATTCAAAGTGATTGCAGTAATTAACGATTCTACTGTGTCTTTAGTTTCTTGTAATTGTATGTCTTTTTCAGCTAATGATTGTGATAATAATACAAACACTTCCTCAACACTATTAGGAATCTGAACGGTAGCAGATTCACCAGAACCATTATTCGTTGATGAGATCTGTTTATTGCTATTTGTATTTGTATTTTCCAACAGTCTTTTCAAAGTCTGTACTTCTTGTTCTAGGGATTCGATTTGGGTTTCTTTGATTTGAAACTCCAGTTTCATCTGATTCGAGCAAGTAATAGCATTTGAATTATTATTGTTGTTGCTGCTGTTATTATTATTTTGAACTTGTGATGGATTCAAAGACAAATTATTGAACGTCTGAGTATCAAATCCGTACATATAGTTCATTTTAATCCAGTAATTAACCAAACGATACGAATATTTTCTGTGTTTTTTATTTACGATAAAGTAATTTCCTATTGACTTGAACTTAGTTGAAATAATCTTATTTAGTTACCCCGGATATTATTAATTCTGATTATTTACCCCAGATAAATTAGATTATATTATATTAAAGGAAAACGGTATGTTTTTGCCTGGCTACTTACACGACTGAGAAGTAAATTTATTTAACAATTCCAGTTAACTTCACGGCAACTCACGGTCTCTTTATATCAACGATTCTTCTGTGGCTCCCTTATCTAGCCTCCCCCTTTCACCAAGTGTAACAGTGTTCCTATTGTTATTAACTTCATGATCAAAATAGGTTTTAGTTCCATGCAATTAGAATAACAAGGTTTCTGTCTCAGAGTTTCTTGGAGTATTGAAGAAGAACCCCACGCCAAGTTTTGCCTCTGAGTGTGTGTTTTTTAGTGCCGCTCGTTCAAGCCGGCAAAAAAATTGGTTTGGTCGAGTGGAATTTGCTGAAGATGGAACAGTTTTTCACCAATTTATTTATATAAATAAGACAGAATCGTACTGGGGGACGGTGGAGGATCGATTCTGCAGTTGAATAGATTCATCCTCTTTGCAGGTTTTGTTTTATTTTCACAACCACAGTTAGGGCAAATATATATATATATAATTTGTTTATAAAAAGAAAGTAAAATAAGAAAATGGTTGTTGTGAAGGATTACAGCCAAGTGATGCCATTCCGCCACGAGGATGGTGCTAGGCTTAGTGAGGGTGTGACGTACGACATTAGAAACGATAGGTTGCTATGGGTTGATATCTATAACTCGGAAATCCACGCCATCGACAACGTGTCACGTGATGGACGTGAAGGTCGCCATATGACCATCAAGATCGAGGGTTCACAAGGTCGTGATTCTGTTGGTGTCGTATTCTTAACTGACGATCCAGGTATTGTGTTGTTTGGTGGTAAAGATGGGATCGGCCAATGGAAAGTCGGTTCTCATGAATGGGAATATGTAGTGAAATATAGTGCTTGTTCCGAATTAGCTGAAAATCCTGATAGGTTACAACGATTAAGACCTAATGACGGGAACACTACCCGTGATGGTAAATATATCTTAATTGGTTTAATGAACGATTTCAATTACGATGTTAAAGCCATTGATGGATGTATCTTGCGAATTAGTGTTTCAAAGGGGACCGTGGAGATGGTCTGGGATGGGATTGCTATAGCTAATGCAGTTCATTGGGATCATGATGAAAAATACGTTTTCATCACGGATTCGTTGCAACATACTATATGGCGTTGTCCATGGGACAAACAAACCAATTCTTTGAATAGAAACGGTAAAGAGGCATGGATTGATTTTAAATCTCATAATAAAGAGTTTGCTAGTCCCGAACCCGATGGTAGTGATATGGATATTGCTAATAATCTATTATATGTGACCGTATGGTCGACACATCGTGTGCAAGTTTACGATATCACTCAACGCAATAAATTAGTCCAAGAGATTATTTTGCCCGTGACTACTCCAAGGGGCTCCTGCTGTTGTTTAGCTGGCAGTGATTTGTATGTGACCACAGCAAACGACGAAATTAGCGATGAGCCTGTACAAAAGGGTCAAGGTGGTTCTTTGTTTAGACTATTATGCGTTGCAGACAACAAAGCCACCTCGTCTAAAGCATATTTGAACCTGCACTAGTTACTTTTCCCTCTCTCCCCTCTCCCACTGTCTATATTTCGATAATGTACATATTTAGATATTCTTATGCTTCCACATATTTATAAGAACTGAGTAATCCAATCCGTGTTTGAGTAATCAAACTATCAATTTATTCGTATTATGTAACATTATGTAATATTATGTAACCGCAGCCGTGCACAGTGATACCCCCTAAAGGCTGTGCCCCCCACCCTCCCCGCGGCACGGCCACGACGTCCCGTCCCGCTCGGCGTATTATATAATTTTCGCGTAAGCCAGGCTGCCGTGTGGCCACCCAGACACCGCTGCCACTTAGTAATTTTTTAGTAATTTTTCGCTGTTTGGCCGTTGCTGGGCACGAGGGGGGGAAGAAATCAGCTTTCGATTGGGATGGCGATAAATAACAAGAACATATATATAAGGGGTAAGGAAGGTGAGATAATAACACAATTGGGTATTTCTCGTCTGTTTCCTTATAATTTTTCTTTTGGAACACTCAATTACCTATTTGCTACGATCAGTATACTATCACTATACATTTACAAACAAATATCTCTAAACAAACATGACAAAGGTTGCCATTATTATCTACACTCTATACGGTCACATTGCCGCTACAGCTGAAGCTGAAAAGAGAGGTATTGAACAAGCCGGTGGTTCTGCCGATATCTTCCAAGTCCCAGAGACTTTGACCCCAGAAGTAGTGAAGGCTCTAGGCGGTGCTCCAAAGCCAGACTACCCAATTGCTACCAGAGACACCTTGACCGAGTACGATGCGTTCTTGTTCGGTATTCCAACCAGATTCGGTAACTTCCCAGCTCAATGGAAGGCCTTCTGGGACGCCACTGGTGGTCTATGGGCTAAAGGTGCTCTACACGGTAAGGTCGCCGGTTGTTTCGTCTCCACCGGTACTGGTGGTGGTAACGAGTCTACTGTTATGAACACTTTGTCCACTCTGGCTCACCACGGTATCATCTTTGTTCCACTAGGTTACAAGAATGCATTTGCCGAATTGACCAACTTGGAAGAAGTTCACGGTGGTTCTCCATGGGGTGCCGGTACTATTGCCGGTGCTGATGGTTCTAGACAACCAACCGACTTGGAATTGAAGATCCATGAAATTCAAGCCAAGAGTTTCTACGAAACTGTCAAGAAGTTTTAAACACTGCCTTGAGTCCATATAAATATATATATATATCCATCTATCTATCCATCTATATCTCTTTAATGAATAAGATTATCCAATAACCATTGGAAACCCTGGCCGCACGTGAACTAGGGCTCCCCGAGAGCCGGACACCACCGGACCGGCGGAGTTCCTCTCGCGGCCGACGTCTGTCACTCCGCACGGCAGCGGCAAAGGACCCTAAAATCTCCGGCATGCCGCACGCGCAGCACACCTCTTGTTATGTAAGGCATAATTACCTTCCCGCAATGGATGGGGAAGGATAGCGTGGGCGGTAGGGAGGTATATCTGTATTTATTTATATATATATATAAATATAATCAGCCAGAAGTGGAGATGACTTATTTTACTTATTTCCATCGGTTTTACAACTTATTTCGTTTTTCGTTATATGTACACACTGACACACACACATATATATATATACACGCTGTATGATGTTACTGATTCCTAGCACGTATAATAATACCACAACAACAGGTGATGACGACAAGAAAATAGATCCACGAGAATATGAGGACCTCGGACCATGTGTCTCCATGGCGATTGAAGCACAGAACGAAGAGCAATTCCTACGACTCTCGTACAAGTTGAAACGGACGACCTCGTTGCATATGGGGAGGAAACCAGGCACTGCTGGTGCTGCCACTGGTGACGCAGAGTGTCGTCCCACAAAACAGTTTTGGAAGGAGTCTAGACAATGTAGGACGTTTGCTTTGCCAAGTGAGGAGACTCTCCGGGTGAAGGACGACGTCTCGGTGGGCCAGGGCGCCCCAGATAAGTATGTGGACTATCTGTCGTATCGTTGGAACGATTTCGAAGTGATTAATTCCTGGAAGTTTATTCGTTTGGCAAGGAAATGGTGTCATGAAAGAAAAACGTTGCAAGTGGATGATGGGTTGAAGGATGATTTGAAACCAAGCGAGCTTTATAATCGAAGACTGGAGAATATGTCGTGGAGAATTTGGTTTAAATTGAAATTGCCGATGGCCTTACAACCAACTCAAAACGTTAAGGAAATATTGTTTAATAGCATGTCGAATCAAGATATGACTTGGCTCTATGGACCTTTGATACATAGAGATCAAAGTGGTTCCGTAGCAAGTATTCAAAACATTAACGATACAAAAAATATTCAAAAAAAGACACCTTACATTAAACCCATCTTAAAGAAAAGAAATTTGGGTGAAACTTTAGAGAAAAACTCCTTATGGAGACTTAGAAAAGTTAAACGAAATATTAAAAGAAGAAGTTCTTTGGACTATAGGCATATCAGACAGCATACTAGATTAAATATTCCTAATACGGATAGATCAGCATCTTATTTTGATGATGAGCCCTTGATCGAAAGTAATGATAGTAGCAACCCATCATCTTCGTCTACTTCTTCAAGTTTTACCGGACTGGCAGCAATAACCAACCAACACTCACACCCGCATAATGATAACGACAATAACGATTCTACAACTCATTCACCAATATTAGATGATATTCAACCACAATTAGATGTCAGGCACATCAGATTTAGTAATAATGTACAACAATGCATTGCCATTCATAAATCAAAATCAAACCTTGATTCAACTGAACTACAGAAGGATATCATTCAACCTTTACCCCCTACTCAATTAAATTATTATTCAGGTTCAGAATCTGATTCTTCCTCTGAATCATGTCCTGATGAAGACTGTGATGATTGTAATAAAGACACTAACGTTGCCTATAAGCATTATAGCTACATTAAAAATAAATCTAAATCTAGATCCAAAGCAGTCTCTCATAATGTCAATACCTCTAGAAGATACCCTTACATATATGATTACAATTCTGTCTATACTGGTGACGTTAGCAATTTGTTACCAAAGGATTATTCCTGTGATATTATTGATTTACCACAAGGTTTGGGACTAGAGTTAAGTGCACCTACCCAACCTATTGCTATTCCTTCTCCTACTTGTGAGACAGATATTCTTATCACTAGTGATGAAACTATAATCCTTTCGCCGAGTGCAACAACACCATCTCTTTCACCTTCGCATAGTATTATTGTACCATCATCGGCATTTTCTACTCCACAGACTCCATTAAGCTCAACGTTCGGTTATTCTTCGACTACTTCAACTTTCTCAACAGAAGACACTGAGACAAGCTCTGTACAAGCATTGACAAAGACAAGAGATTTTATCACGGGACAACTAATCAGTAGTAATAGTAATAGTGCTAATGATGACGATAGTAACAAAGGTTCTCCTCAATTGCTAGATGCAATGGAAACGCCTCCTACTTTATTTAACCCTAAATTTAAAACATCACCAACAGCTTTAGCAAACTTCATATTCAATTCATCGGATGAGAGTGATATTTAAGTCTATATTAGATTTATATCTCTTTTTCTACCCCTACATTTTTTTAAAGAAAAAGGTTTCACCCTTTTTTCAATTATTTTTTTTTTAGATCTTTAATTTAATGAAATAGTCATATTACTAAATTACGTATGTTTTCACATATTCTTTAATCAAAATATATAAAAAAGAACATTCACAATATAAATATTCTCAACTCAAAGGAGAGATAATGTAAATATAAAGAAGTGGTAATGGACCAAGCAGATAATGACAATACTGACCAAATACACCAACAGGAAGAAGATGACCGTATAGCACATGATGAAACTGTAGAGGAAGCTGTTTATCGATATGTTAGGGGACTTGACTTCCCAGAATCCTCATCATCTTCATCGGATATAAATTGGAATAATAAAAGATATATTGAGCTACCACAGGATAATATCACTAGAAAGATGCCTAGACATGACTATGGTCATGATGATGAAGAGGATGACGATCTTTTGCACGATGACACTGATTTGCTATTGAGAGATGCGTCACCTATGTTTAGTAAGTCGACAAGTACACTACCAGTGAATATATCCCAACGAATCAAATCATTTCATGAAGTACTGCCAAAGGTTAGCTCCCTAAGGAATGTGCCAGTGTTTAATATCACCTCGACTACAAGATCAAAGTTAGGAAATGTTGAAGGGTTTGAAACTGTTATCAAAGATACAAGAGGTTGTGTGGAACGACTTAGTCCAACTTTAAAGAGTAACAAGATTTTTACAAAAGAGGAGGACCAAATTGTTGATGAATTCATTAACAAATATTGTAAATATGAGAATATAACAATTAATCAGTTCAAAAATCGGATGTGGAGCGATACAAGGAAACGAAGTCATTCGTTGACTATATTTTGGAAAACCGTTTATAAAATGTTTTCTCATAGATCACAGACATCTCTCTATAGTCACATACGACGTCGATATCATAATTTTAGTAAAGTGGGTAATTGGACTGAAGGAGAAGATCGTCGATTAAATGAGTTTTGTCAACAGTCTGGATCTGTTATCAAATGGAGTCAAATTGGACTTGAATTGGACCGAATGCCTGAAGAATGTAAAGATCATTGGAGAAATCGTATAAAGATAGAAGGTAAGCAATTAAAAAATAAGTGGACACCCAAGGAAGAAGAAAATTTAGTTAATATAGTGAAGAATACTTTTGAACTTAACCAATCAATTAATTGGGATAAAGTCAGTGAAATGATGAATGGATCAAGATCTAGATTACAATGTCGATTCAAATGGAAACAAGTTACGAAGAAAAACCTTAAAGTGCAAACGGTGCAAAAGATGTTGAGGTTGATGAAAGATCACCCATGTGAGAATACATTGAAGATCGACCATGATTATTGGGAACAAATTGCTCAAACTGATAACGATTGGACTGCTAAACAAGTACAAGTTGTTTATAAAGAATGGGCAAAGAAAGTGCCGGACGTAAAGGATAAAACAATGACTCAAGTAATCACCTACATTTTGGAATATCTAATTGAAGATAAAAACGGCTAATAGATATTCCCGACAAAATCAAATTATCGAAGTATACATACGTGTATATAATAATGAAAACTACTAATGATTATTAGTGATGTCTTTCGCTTTATTAGATGAATTTACAAAATGAATTTTTCTTTTATATATTATAATTTATGTAAATAACTTAGAATTTAGAGAATTGCTTGTTAGACTTACCTGGAGCAGCAGCAACCTTGATGACGTTGAATCTAACAGTCTTGGAGATTGGTCTACATTGACCAGCAGTAACAATGTCACCGACTTGGACACGGAAAGCTGGAGAAACGTGGACAGAGACGTTCTTGTGTCTCTTTTCGAATCTGTTGTACTTTGTAACGTAGTGCAAGTATTCTCTTCTAATGACAATAGTTCTGTGCATCTTGGTGGAGACAACAGTACCAGTTAGAATCTTACCACGGATGGAAACTAAACCAGTGAATGGGCACTTCTTGTCAATGTAAGAACCTTCAATAGCGGTCTTTGGAGTCTTGTAACCTAGACCGACGTTCTTATACCATCTCTTAGTTCTTCTGGAAGTCTTGAACTTTGGGTTGGTGAAGATATGTGGTTGCTATAAAAAAAGTAAGGAGTAACGATAATAATGATAATTATTATTATTATTATTATAGATTGTTAGTAAATTAGTTGAGGTTTGAAGGGTTTTTGATTTTTCTTCTCTATGAGTTCTTTGTGTGGAATAGATGTTCTCTATCTTCTACAAAAGGTTTGTCATACGCGTTTGTTCCTTGTTGGTAATTTGACTGTTATTCTTGTGCTTCCATATTAATAAATTTTCGTCTCATTATTTGATCGTCAAAATTTCTTCACAAAACACTCTTATATTTTATTCCAATAGTAATCATTCGTTTACTATTCCTGGTATAAATCTATTTCCATATGGAATATATTGCTATTATTTTTCATTAGAGAAGCAAAATCTTTTAATCATTATAATTTTTTCATACCTTTTGGAAAGCTTTTTCAGCTTGGACAGTTAATTCAGTGGACATTTCGTAACCAGTTTGCTTACTTCTCTTTTAATTATAAAGATATTAGTAAAATTGTTAATATACGTTTTATAAACTATGCTACTATATAAAATTTGATATATATATCGTGTTGATGGTTCTAGCTAGCAACTAACGTATGTTCAACTGCTATGAACATACTTGTCCCCAGTAATGATTGACCACAAGGATAATAGTAATGGTAGTTTGCAATTACTATCGTCTAAACTCACAGTACATTCACGTCACCCAGTGAAATTTCCGGGTTCTCACCGTCGTAAGTTGGATGGTGATAAAAGAATTGCCAACAGTACGACGTTTCTGTCTAGACAGTAACAGTTCACAAACATCTGTCTCTTCCCAGGGAGGAGAGCACCCTCCTGGTCGTCCCTTTGGCACATTTGGTTCTGTAAGTAGAATTGGACTGGAGCTTCTGTTACTCCCAATGATGATTAGGCAGGCATTTCTGAATTTTGCGGCTGGTTTTCCCGTTTCGGTTGAAATGCAAAAAAATATTCAAAAAAACAAAATTTTCAAAAATAAAATTTGGTTTTCTCTGGGTGCAAGGATGTCACTCAGTCCAATCAAAAATTACTGAGAGGACCTTCAATATTTAAAACCAAATATGTTATTTATTTGCTATATATAGGGAGAAACGTTAAGAGATAAATTCGTAACCCTTTATAAAATGAATGTGAAGATAATGGCAGCTGACAGAGTGTGAGCTTAAGTTCAGTTGAAATTACAATGCTCAATTGAACAATTTCTGAGAGCTGTTGTCGGTCTTTGACATAATTAAACTAGATTGATTTAATGAAAATTATAATATAATCGATAGTACTAACAGAAAGATAATTGTGTTCTTGTTCTTTTTCATTGAGATGATATGCAACATAATCTAGTAATCCCAAAAAAAAATGTGAAATCAATAGGATAAACAATACTTTTTTATCGCCCCCCACCAATAAATCATAAACAGAAAAAGACTGTTTCATCCAAATCGATAGATGTCTTTGCAACAAGATGATAAGTACTAATTGCATACATATGTGGTTATTAATCATCACATTTTAATTGGTTCTAATCTAAACCCCTTAAGTGAAAGAGTAATTAAAAAATATAATGTTTCATTTTAGCTTGCTTGTCTTTTTTTTTATTTAGTCATTCTAATGCTGAACAGCCGCATGTATATCTGACGTAATATAGTCGTTCTAAATTCTGGGCTTCAAAACGACACACAACAAAAAGCTATAAGATAGGAGACATTAAAGATTGCAAACTTTTAAAAATAGTTATTTTAACATCAATTTTACTTCAACAAGTAGAGCTTATAATACAAAGGGGAAATACGCTGGACTTTTGACAACAATGTCTCATGTTAATCCAAAACGTTGTGTGAATAAGAAAAAATCCAAAAGAGCTATTATAAGGACGTGGTTCCATGGGCCCGAGAAAAGTTTTATTAATGATAAGAACTTGCTGCATATCGAAGGTAATTTTGACTATGTTTCTCAGACAGCATCATGTTCCATACGTTCAAAAGGACAGTCTCCGCCACAAATATATGATTTGAAGGATCCAGCGACTATTATGACAGAAGCTCAAGAGACAGAAGAGCTGACACAGAAAAAAGATAACTTTCCAGACACTGTAGAGAAGGAAGACGATTTCGAAGAAGATGACCTTGAGGAAGAATTTGGAAAGAAGAAATCACGGAGGCTGTCTAGAAAGAGATTAGGAGAAATAAAGGAAACTTTCAAATTTAATTTAGAGAGAATGACACATAGTAGTGGGAAATTTTCACTTAGAATGAATATTGCAGATGATGAAACGGATTTTGGAGACACTACAAATGGAACTATTAAGACAACTGAGTCTGAAGCAAAGAGTAGAGTATCGTGCTACCAAAGTTTTAGAACTGACCCAAAAGATCTCTCTATCTTGTACGATTATGCTATGAATACTAGTCTAGGGGAGTTACAAAAGACAAGTGATGATACAAAAAGATCTAATTTTCAAGGTTCATTATTTAGGAGATTGGTGTATCAAGACCTTTCCAATGAAGATTTTTTGGAAAAATTTAAAAATTCTTCAAATACTGTGGTTCCAGAACAACTAGATCTTTTCAGGAATGATAGTACTTCCAGTATTTATAGTTCTATCTATGATTTTGGTGATTATTCCGACGATTCTGAATCTGGTGAAAATTGTATAGAAGATAATGCAATCATACAAGCAGTTACTCCTGCTGCTATACATATATCCACTTTATTGGAAAATTCAGGAAACACAAAGAGAAGTAGTAAACGTTTGCTCAGTACTGGTAGAGCGGGAGGTTCTAAGAGGCAAAGACATGATATAAATAAAGAGTCCTTTGTTGATACTGTGTCTAAGCAAATCATTCCTGATGCGACATTATTATCCGTTGAAGATAGCATGTCTCCTCATGTTCCTGGATTGGAGAAAGCTGGTGAAGGGTCATCTGATGGCTCAAATAGTTCTATCGAAATTGATCATTTTCTTAGCCAACCTAAGAATATGAACTCTGTTAGCGATGAGGATAATTCAAGTGTACCATCTTTAGTACCAGAAGAAAATTCTACCTCTACTTCAAGAATTACATCTGAATCAAGTCAATTATATACAATCCCTACTTTTAGAAATGAAACTAAGAGTCTAAACATTGCCAATATTGTTTCAAATCTCAAAAATGGTTCAATACATACAACTAGATTGATATGTCTCAATACTAATGATGATAAAAAAGGTGTTTCATATAGAGACAAACATTTTTATGATAGTTTGCCAGATAAATATTTCTGTAATGAGTCTATTGATAGTTCCCTAGATGAAAACGAAGACTTAACTAATGAGGAGTTTGACGATCCTGAAACAACATTCACCTTCAGTCATCCTTATGATACAATAAGGTCAGGTAAGATGGGACGTCAAGATCTGAGTGTGATCAACAATGATGGAAATAGTGTTAGATTTGATGATCACTCTAAATTATTTGTCTACACGCCAAAAAGAAAAAATTTGGTGTATTCAAGAAATGAAAATCACCTCCTAGATTCTGACAAAACTCGAAGTTTGAAATCAATATTAAAAACAAAAGATCATATTAGCACTGAGATTGAAAATGCAAGAGCAATTTGTTGTGACTCTGTCAATGTTAACGCATTTATACACTCATTAAATGATTACGAAGAAAAACGATTGACCGATGAAAGGAACAATGCTCTTTCAAGGGAAAATCAATTAAACAGATATTATTCTAAGGAATCCTCGCCAAATCGGTCGATTATTGTTAGCGTTCAAAGTTGTGGAAGCGATAATTAACTAAAACTAATTGCATCAAAATTTTATAAAAAAAACATATACAAATGATTATGGAACATTATGTTCCTTTTAGTAACTGTTCAGATCATTAATAGAATAATATTCTTCTAATCATAACTGTGTCACCAATAGTTGAGGGTGTATGGGTGTAAAGCATGTCAGAATTCCAAAAAAAGAAACTCCTCATAGGGGGCTCGAACCCCTGACATTTCGGTTATCCTTGCCTAAGTAATAATTACTTAAAAGCCGAACGCTCTACCAACTGAGCTAACAAGGATGAGTTTCTTGGAGGGCACCTTTTTGTATCTAATTTTATAGTATTGGAAGTTTGAAAAACATATTTATTTTATTTTATTTTCTGTAATATATCTGGGATTAATTAAGTTTGTAAACTAAAATAATGTCTATTAAAAAGGTATAATTAAAGTGTTATGTTTTCATAAAGGGTTAAATCATGCTGATCAAAAGTATTTGAAAAATTGTTAAAAGAGCTAATGTCATATTTTCCACAATTATTGGGGCAAATGGTAACCACTCCAATTTTGACATATATTTTCTTTATTATATAATTATTGCTAAGTTTATTTTGTCAGTATCTTGACAAAAATTGAAATGGAAGATGTTTTTTGGTCAAAATGAGATATTATTAAATTCTTACTTCAATCGGTAGTCAACAGAATTTCCGAACGATTAAAGTTGGAAACTGTCGGAAATATATTATAAGAGGGATAATGACCAAGGTTATGATCTATTGATAGGTTCATCCCGCAATGATCTAACAATAGGTTCATCCCGCAACAACTTAATAATTGTCGGAAATATATTATAAGAGGGATAATGACCAAGGTTATGATCCATTGATAGATTCATCCCGCAATGATCTAACAATAGGTTCATCCCGCAATGATCTAACAATAGGTTCATCCCGCAATGATCTATTGATAGGTTCATCCCGCAACAACTTAATAATAGATTACTTACGCCACTGTCGAGTGAGTTTATAATCACGACAACAAGAAATCCAACATATATAAATGGAACAATATTTCATTTATGAATATAATTGTTTCCATAATTTACTTTATATATGTTTGTATAAGATATAAAAAATCAGACGACTATAAGTTGATTTTGTAATATAATAAAATTTGTTCAGTTAAATAGAAGATGACTAATATTCAATTTTCTCATCATCTATTCGTTATATAACTTATATAAAATGAAAAACCACTTACAAATATAAGAAAAATATAACTGGAAGAAAAAAAAACATTTTATTTATGTATACGAGAGCGTGTCATTTAGGTGCTGACCGTGACCTCTTAATTACTAAAAACTACTCTCAATGTATCAGAACCTTTAAATTTTTGTTTCATGATTTAACAACTTACGCTACTGTTATTTATTTAGTGAATTTCTTCTTTCTTTACCCTCTCGTTTCACCTAGAATAGCTACGACCACTTCATCACGTTCAGTTATACAAGTATCATTTGAAATGTCACCACGATATACACCTGCGCTTCGAATTGATGCTTAATATTTCAATAATATTGAAATTTCAGCCCAGGCCTTATAATAGAATTTCATGGTTCATTTACTTTGCGACATTGTGACACTGATATTTCGTGTCTACTTTCTTTTCAGGAACCTCTTGAAATTCACAGAGATCGATATGTAGAATCGGTCGAATTCAATGGCACCAGGAATGTCAACTAAAAAAAAATAGGTGTATAGGACACCGATTGTTGATCTTTCTGTTATTCACAAAGACGTCGTACTGAACTCAGAGCTCCATTTCTTCTTCTAATGTTGTTTCACTCAACAATTCCCAGGTTAGTCAGTTCCCCTGCTTGCCTCGGATCGGTTGGAAAACTTGATTAAGCGAGCCCCAGGAAAACTCGAGCGATGGAGAAGTCCCTGAGTTGGATAATAAATATAAAGGGTAGACATCGATAAAAGAGATAGAAGACAGTAAAAGTTATTAATGGGTTACTATTTGTTATAAAGTGTGTTAACAATAAGCATAAGTATAATTTTTGGTAGCAAATAGATCTGAATCCCACCTACTTCAAAGAGTTGAACTATAAACACAATGCGAAGTAAAGCAGTCTACCTTTTAAGGAAGATAACAATTCCTGTTATCTCACTTACTATTTTTCTAAATGATATCATAATACTCTTATCAGCTCAATATTTCTTTCACCATTTCATTCCTGTTAGTGTTACAACGTTGCAAAAAATTCTGGATATGACTAAAAGGGCCTTCATCGATATTTTGGTGACAATATTAGAGATTATTGCTCCATCACATGTAAGAATCACTACAGAAAATGCTACTATCCCCAAACATACATTTCGTGTTAATTCAAAGAAGAATATTATTGAATCCAGTCTAGAGCAATGTTCGATAAGTATATGTAACCACCAGATATATACAGATTGGGTGTTCCTGTGGTGGATTGCCTACACGGGAAAATTGGGCGGTAGGGTCTATATAATGTTAAAAAAATCATTAGAATCAGTTCCATTATTAGGTTATGGTATGCAGAATTTTAAATTTATATTTATGAATAGGAAATGGTTGCATGATCGTACTACTTTAGCTAGCCGCTTGGGTGAGATTGATGCCGACGCCAGAGGCCAAGGACCTTTGAATGGTAAAGAACCTGTTTCTACTGACACAGACGGATGTGCCCAATGGTCAACTTCAATCGGATCCTTGAACAATCCATCTTGGCCTTATAATCTAATTTTATTTCCAGAAGGGACTAATTTTACTGATAACACTAAGGGTAAAAGTAAAGCATACGGTGCTAAAGTTGGTAAAGCTACGTTTGACCATGTGCTATTACCCCATAGCACTGGTTTGAGACATTGCATTAAAACGTTGAAACCTAGTTTAAGCGTTATTTATGATACTACAATTGGTTATTCTGGAGTGTCTTCAGATAAATACGCAGAAAGCCAATACGGATTAAAAAGTATTTTCTTAGAAAGTAAGTATCCAAAACTGGTTGATATTCATATTAGAGCTTTCAAAGTAGACGATATTCCAATCGATGATGAAGAATCATTTGATGAATGGTTGTATAAAGTATGGAAGGAAAAAGATGATCTATTAGATAGATATTACAGGGTTGGAACGTTTAATCACGATAGTAGCTTGCAACACACAATAATCGGTGATTTTAAGATCAGTCGTGTGGAAGCTTGTCTCGCCCTATTGTGTCCAATTGTTACAACAATTTTATTTTGGAAGTTTGTTTTGAGCTTCTTTCTGGGTTAACATTGCACGAACAACAACTAAAATTGTTTACATTTAATCAAACCCATCTTTCATTATTAATACATTTCGTAGGAAAAAAGATAAGTGAATGTATGCAGTGCTAATTAATATATATAGATATAGATACATACATATATATCATTATTTTAATTTTATTTAAATAAAAAAAGAAATATAAAGAGTGTTCTTGGGTTTATAATTTAACAGTTTGGTTCTTAATATCTTCCCAATCACTATCAGTAAGTAGTGTGTATTCTTTATAATTCTTTAGCCAGTATATTTGGTCCAGACCATCAACACCGGATGGTAATTTTTGATCTCTATAAAGTTTCTTTGGAATTTTGTGGTTGTCTGTCATTGTAATCTCGTTAACAAATTTCACAAATAATGGCATGGCATATTTGGGTAAAGATTTATTGAGGTGGTATACCATGGCATTGAGTAAGTTTATAATTTCATGATCTGGAATGTTTTCGATCTGGTTGTTAAGTTTAATGATAGCAAACCCTGCACGGCCTTCGTAACCAGGAACCTTAATACCTACAACAACGACTTGAGTGATCATTGATTCGTTACTACAACTCACTTGATCTTCCACTTCGGTAGTGGAAACATTTTCAGATTTCCATCTGAAAGTATCCCCCATTCTGTCTAAGAAATACCACATACCGAATTCATCTGCTTTCAATAAATCACCACATCTATACCAAGCATCACCATTCCTAAAGACATTTCTAACAACTTTAGACTTTGTTTCACGTTCATTACCTAAATAACCTTGGAATGAGGTCTCTGGTTTTCTTGGGAAAAATATTCTCATCATCATTTCACCTGGTTCATTGACAGCTGGTTCCTCACAATAGCCCTTTTTATTTCTATAGACTACAGAGTCATCTTCAGGGTCCATTTTCACTAGCACTTGTTGGAATGAAAGAAACCATTGAATCACGGTACCGTAGTTTCTACATGCACCTATACCAAAGGTACCACATTGATAATTTGTAGTAGCGAATGGTGCTTCTGTTGCTGCATAAAATTCCCCAATAACATCAATGTTGAATCTAAGTCTAAATTGTTGCCATATATCTGGTCTTAATCCGTTACCGAAGGCAACCTTGGCATTGTGTAATTTTTCATATTCTGAAATAGGTGTGTGCAGCAGATAACGACAGATCTCACCCACATATTGGACATGTGTCGCCTCGGTAATATAAGCTTGTTTCCAGAAATTACTTGCAGAAAATTTTGGAGATATAGCAATACAACCACCTTGAGATAAGACAGCACAGACGCCAAGTAGTGCTGCTGTAGAATGGAACAATGGCATGGCTGTAAATACTATACTTTCAGTATTCATATGGAAAACGTACCCAAACAGTTGTGTTCCCACAGCACATTTCCTCCAGGACATAATTGCAGATTTTGGTAAACCTGTAGTTCCCGAAGTATAAATCAGCATGGAAGGTTCATAATCCTTTGCAGTAGCAGGAGATCTAATATCTTCAGTCTGTAAAAAAACTGGGGACATAGGATCATTGATTATATCTAACAAGGAATCCTCATCTAAATAATTCAATCTAACATTTGGTAAAGAATTTTTTATCAATTCTTCTGAATTTAGGATTGGTGTTGCAGCATCGGGATCTATAAATACTTGTGAGATGTTTGAGATTCTTAATGAATGAACTAATGGTTCACCAACACTATTACAATTCAAAAATGCAGGCACAGCACCAATATTCCATGCAGAGTACCATAGAAACAAGAATAATGGTTTGTTTGTGCAATCGATAGCAATATAATCACCTGGTGATACATTGTAAGTGTTACGCAAAATATATGACATTCTCAACACGATTTCATAAGTTTGTTTATAAGTGTATGATTCTAATTCATATTCGCCTTGTTTACCCTTCACAGGACGTGTATAACGAATTGATAGTCCATCTGGGTTATTGTCGACTTGTTTTGTAAAGATATACCAAGTTTGGAATTTATGCTTTTTAACTGACCAAGCATAAAGGAATACTGATTTCAAAAAATATGGGATAATGTAGAAATCCTCTTTAATCCTATGACGCTCATCGAACTTCTGAAAAAAATCCCCTGTGAGCCAAACAACGAGGTATACTAACGGTGTAACAATTATCTTGATCAGTCTAAACAGCAACGTAAAAATCCTTGCTAGGACAAATACAAGGACATTCAAGAGCCACATGACGATATTCAATAGCGATAGTTAACGATAATTGGTTTTACTTGTTAGAACGTAAGTAAAGACAGAATTGATGTATTCTAACGAATGAGTATAACTATACGTATTTATATATTTATGATTATTGGTTCCATTATTGTCAACATATTTCCCTCAAAATACCTCCTGCAAAACTGTTGATTAATTTAGTAAATCTTTCACAATGCACACAACAAACGCGGATATAGGTAAAAACTCCAAACGCGCCGCCAAAACAAGTCTTGCATTGTTGGGAAAGGTGTCAGTAAATAGATGGAAACGATTTTTCAAATTATATATATATATATATATTTTTTATTTTATTTATTTGGTATTTATTGTTGAATATGGAGTGAGTGTACAGTCGTTAGGCCTTGGTGCCGTACGACGAGGAATCAGAGGAATAGTAGTTGTGGTATGGTGGTTGTGAGGCCTTATTGGCGGAGGTGTTGTCTGGTACTAAGGTATTATCTTCTCCATTACGTAATTCTTTTAGTTTCAAACCATAGAGAATGAGACAAATAACTAACAAGAATGCAAACCCAAACCACATCATCGAAGCCGCTTTGCGACCGGTATAGACACTGACCATTCCCATACTTGCTGCTGGGACCAACTTATGAGCTGCATGAATACCGATATGAGTCCAGACTGCACTCATCCCAGAGATTAAAACTAAGGTTGGACTTAAAATCAATAACAATAGCGACATGTAGTTACCACCTGGTAAGCCGGGAATAATGACATATATGAGTGATAGAAACATAATTATTGTAAGTACTATGGTAGCCATTAATAAATATGGATGGATGACGTTGACCGATGTAAGTTCACCTAACTGTAATACATTGAGAGAGGCTGAAGTATTATTTTTATTATTGGTAGTAAACAAGTCAATAGATAGGTCTTGGTAAAGACTTGTAGTCGTTAGATTTTTACGAGGGTAACATATATGAGTGTCTTGGGTACCTTGTAAATTATAAGTAGTTGGGATCTTATCTATACAGATTCCCATAAAACCAGCTCTAATTTTAACTTTCTCCAAACCAGTAGTGGTAGAAGACTGTTTGAAACTTGATTGGATTGTCTCATAGAAGGAAGATTTGGAGTTTATTTGATAGCGAACAAGGAAAGTAGAGTCCTGGGAACTATTATAACAACCTATCAATAAGAAGATTGTCAGGAAGATAGTAATGAAGTTTAATAGTAAAGCGATCCCACGAGGAATTCTTTGAGCAATATACCATACAAGCATTTTTTTTGTCTTTATTTTTTTGTTTGGGGGAGGGGTGGAGTTGTTTGGTATTATTTGAGAAATATATATTATTACAATACAAATAAGAAGTATAGAGTAATGAGATTGAGATCAAATGTAATAGCTTTATGTATATATATAAAAAATTATAAATATAAAAATATATGTTATAAAATTGTTTAACTGTCATGAAACATTTTTGAAACAAAGCAGCGACTTATATAACGATGAAGCATACTCCAAACAAACAAAAAACACAGAATAGTAAGAAAAGAGGTTATATTGGAATATATATTTATGTAATTATAAAAATAAAGGGAGAGATAGATATAGGAGGTGAGGTAGTAATGACAGTGTGTGTGAAGATGATCAATCCAAAGAGGAAGCACCAGTAATGATATCGACCAATTCGTTGGTGATGACTGCTTGTCTGGTTCTGTTATACAAGATAGAGTATCTGTTGATCATGTCACCTGCATTCTTAGAAGCGTTATCCATTGCTGTTCTTCTTGCTGAAATTTCTGCAGCATAACCTTGAGCCATTGCGGATAAGACTTGAGAAGTCAAACTATACTCAAACAAATCCGTTGGCAACTTACCTTCTGGGTCAATCTCGAAGATGTTGTAACCTGGGGAGGTTTGAATGGTCTCGGAGTTATAAATTGGTTTTGTAGATGGTACAAATGATAAAGAAGATATTGGATCATTAAAGAAAATAGTAATCTTCGAATATTGTTTAGCATTCAATTCTTGTAAAATCTTAGCTGTAATCAAAGAACTTTCATAGAAAGTTGGAGCATCTTTACCAATACCATTGAATGCTAATTTAATATTATCAGGATAAGATCTTAATAATTGCATCTTAATCTTATCACCAATTGCCACAACATCAGTGTCTGGATGAGACTCCAAGTTACGTTTCACAGCTTTAGCTAATTGAGAATGGATAGAACCACAAAGCCCCTTATCGGATGTAATAGCAATAGTCAAATGTTTTGGATTTTCCAAAGGTTCAGGGACATCTTTAGTCTTTGCCACGTCGTAAAAAGTAGCATCTGCAACATCAATCATCTTAGCGGCAGCCTTAGCCTTCTGAGCCTTGGATAGTCTTGTTGAGGCCACAATCTTCATAGTCTTGGTAATTTTTTCAATATTTTTAATGGATTTCAAACGCAATTCAACTTCTTTCAATGTAGCATAGCCTCTAGCTTGTGAGGCAGCACAACGTGCAGATTGTGACAGCACTGATCTAGCTAACATTATGTACGATTGTGTGTGTGTAGGGTTAGATGTATCTAGATCAAGACAATGATAAATGTAGACCTTGCTATACTTGTATTACCTGTATTCTCTTGTTCAATATACATATATATATGTATATATGTATATTTTACGAGGTGGAAATTACTAGCGTGGGAAAAGCAGCTTAAAGAAAAATACTGTATATATGCGCGCGCGAAGTTACAGCTGAACCATATCGAGGGGGTGGAAGGGGAGGATGAATACTGGCATTTGATTGGCCGACAATAAAGCACACAATGGGATAGTGATCCAAGACCTATTAAGATATATATATATATGTATGTAGGGTATTAGAAGATGTATCGGGAAGTCACAATAGGGCAACAGTCCATAAAGTAAGTCTTCTTTGAAAGAAAAGACAGAAGTGGACAGTCACAGAGCTTAAGTGCCCGCTAGTAATAATCTTAATCTCCCAGTTCATATGAGATAGAAAATATAACTATAACTATATATATCGCGTTCATAGATACTGATCAACTGGATACAATACAATATAGTAAATGTATCAGTGATTAGTCAAACGCACTGCCATATGAAACTGGTGAAGTTGTATATTGGAGATCTGAGTGTGAGAGTAAAGAGGTCTGAGTAGTGGCACCACCATCTCTGATATATCTTTGTGTACTGAAGTGGGAGTGATGTGAGATTGAACTTTTGTTCATGGAAAGTTTGCACGGCGAGCAATTCGTCGTTCTTACAGTCCACTTCCCATGTTTAGTCGTGTGCAGTGACCGTGCGGGTAGCAGATATAATTTTTAAATTAACATTTCAAGGAAGATAAATATAATATATATATATATGGTATCAACTACAAAAACTCCCAATGGTTCAACTGATACGTAAAAATGTAGTTGTGGTTGCAGCAACTTATTACAATTATGTGTATGACATGTGATAGTAGTATTGATTTGACTCGATTTGATTTATCCATACAAACAACTTTTTCACCTCATCGCGAAGGATCAAAACAAAGAAATTTTTCATCTAATTGAGGGTCTCTCTCTCTCTCTGCAATCACTGGAACAATCAACAGATTTAGATAGAATGTATATGCGATTGTTAAGATGGGGAGCTATTCTTATTCAGTAGTTTGAATATATACTATATAAGATCTGTAAAAAGCAAATTAAAATGGCATATACAATCGGCGTGTGTAATAAGTATGACATTGAGAATCTTTGAATATTATACTATTATTTGTGTATATATAAACAGAGAATAATAGAAAGTATTTTTAATAGGGAAAATGATTAATCATTGAAAAGTGGGTTTGAATGCGAGTGTCTCGATGGGGGGTGGCAGTCCTATAGGTCGTTACGTTTGAACCTGGGAGCTGTATATCAAACATCTCTTATATCGGGCCTTTTCTTTCTTTATCTCTCACTTTCAATTTCCATACCAAGATATGATCTGTTATTCAATATTATGTATGTCTATATGCTTATATGTATATATTATTCTAGTGTTCTTACTATATGTTCAAATTATTACACACACATAATCACACCCATACATTCTAATTATATTGAAATATATATATTCTCTTTATTTTGTTCATTAGAGATCATATATAGATATAGACTAGTCGATACAATTTTGATCCAAAAACATTTTTGTTTTTTTGTTTTTATTTGTTGCTTCAATCATTTTGCTTTTCATCAAAATGAATGCAATTTCAACTCACCCATATATTCATTCATTTAATTAATTATTAATATGTTTCCTGTATGGATGTAAGTTCAGTTTACTCTTTTTCTTTTTTGGACCTTTATAAGGTGGGAAAATGGAAAAGGGAAGACTTGTCGGTATATCTCATTGCCTTACACAAGGAGTACATCTCAAACGTTTACTCATACATTTTTTTTGTTCATTCTGATTTCTTTTATTATTGGAGTTGGGGTGGACAGAAGAGGAAATTCAGCTGCTGAGATATGGTTTACCGCGGGCATTTTCATTTCAAAGATGGAAGATGGAAGTTGTCACCAAATTTAAACAAATTAATGGAAAGAGATGACAAGTGTATATATGTATGGTTTCATTCATTTGCTCTTTCTTTTTCTCCCTCTTCCTCGCATATGATTTTTTTATAAATATATGTGTGTGTTGATTGTAGAAATGTTTGATGGTACCTTTTTATTTGTTTGAGAATGTCAATGTTTAATCTCTTTTCAGTGTCGTGTTCTCTCTTATATTTGACACTTTTTTAGACAATATTAGGAGTAGCACCTTTTTTTCTGCATAAGAGAGAGAAAGAGAATTGGCTACTATCATGTTGGTATTAGTATTTTTTTAACAATAATTCAATTTGAGAGTAACGCACATTTACCGGTTTGTTTTGTCATTTTTTTGGTTTGTTTAAATCATTTCAAATGAGTTCTTCTCATTTGGTTGTTATATGTTGAGACTTATGTTTTGATACGTTGCTTCTTCTTTTAGAGAGACAAATAAAAATTAAGTTAATACTGTGTTCGTCATCTCCAACTATAATTTTAAGAGGGGATTGCCGTCCTGTATGTTCACCTATAATGTCATTTTTTGTTTTTATTGTAATTATATGATATACTACAATTTTTGGAACAATTTCTGTTTTTTTCTTTTTATTGTGCTCTTTTTTCAATCAACTATAGAATTATGAATATCTCTATAGCTGGTTGTCTTATCACAATATTAATACCCTTCTATGTATTTACTTGTAATATCTTGGCTTATATTCTATTTGTAGTTGAGATTATTTAGTATTTTGAGACGGCTGGTCACGTGCAGGGATGACTTGTTTTTCCAGTATTTGAATTAGTTAAGTTAAGGAGGCTTTCTGCATATAAATTTATTAAGTGAACGTAATCATGAAACACTGCAATCCATCCCCTGATTCAATATTATTATATAAGGAAGCTACAATTATTATTATTTTGAACTTTAGCAATCACTTTGTTTTTCTTTTAGATCCATATCAAAGGCATATATACACATTTACAATGGCTGAAAAACCTATTATTTTTGCACCAGAGACCTATCAATATGATAAAGATACTCTTAATGAATCTCAATTATTAAATGATCCTATTGATCAATTCACAAAATGGTTTAATGAAGCTAAAGAGGACCCAAGAGAACCATTACCTGAAGCTATCACATTTGCCTCCGCAGAATTACCATCAGGGAAAGTTAGTACTAGAATCTTGCTATTTAAAGAATTGGATCATAGAGGCTTCACCATCTATTCGAATTGGAAAACGTCGGGAAAGGCCAAAGATATTGCCAGTAATCCTAACGCCGCAGTGAATTTCTTTTGGAGAGACATGCAAAGACAAGTTAGAGTGGAAGGTTTCACGGAATTTGTCTCTCGTGAAATGTCCGAAAGATATTTCAATACGAGACCAAGAGGTTCTAAGATTGGCGCTTGGTCCTCGGAACAATCTCATCCATTGGCTAATAGAGAAGAACTACAGAAATTGGTGGACGAAAATACAAAACGATTTGATGGAGTTCCAGATGATAGGATTCCTTGTCCTGATTATTGGGGTGGTTTAAGAGTCGTTCCTTTACAAATCGAATTTTGGCAAGGTAGACCAAGTAGATTGCATGACAGATTCCTTTACTCTAGAAAGAACGAAAATGAGCCATGGACTTTGGTTAGACTGGCTCCATAGTTAATAAGATCTATATTTCACACACACACACACACATATATATATATACATGATTTATCTATGTTTGTCTTTATTGAAATTTGAAATTTTATATATCTGTTCCCCCCGGTTCTGAACTCTCGTTTCTTTTTTTTTCCATTTTTTCCTTTTTTTTTGCGATGCCTCGAAATTTTTCAATTCTCTTTTGGTAAATTTTTCACATCACCCCTTCCCCTCAAGTATTTTACAAGGATTTACTCATATATATATATATAACCTACTTCTCGTCCATTTGTTGTTTATCTACTTCATTTCGTTTCTGATCTATTCATCATATTGTCATCCACATAGAAGTTTAAGATACATATTTACAATGAGTAAGACTACTAAAGAACAATCTGCTACCGAAAAGGACAAATTGTCCCAATCCGAACAACATTATTTCAGTTCCTATGATCATTTTGGGATCCACGAAGAAATGTTACAGGACACAGTCCGTACATTATCTTACAGAAATGCCATAGTACAAAACAAAGATATGTTTAAGGATAAAATTGTTTTGGATGTTGGTTGTGGTACTGGTATCCTTTCAATGTTTGCCGCTAAAAATGGTGCTAAGCATGTTATCGGTGTCGATATGTCCAGTATCATTGAAATGGCTCAAAACATCGTTGACATTAATGGGTTTTCTGACAAGATTACTCTTTTACGTGGTAAATTAGAAGATATAGTTTTACCTTATAAACAGGTTGACATCATTGTCTCTGAATGGATGGGTTATTTCTTATTATATGAATCCATGTTAGATACTGTCTTATATGCTCGTGACCACTATTTGGCTCCAGGAGGTCTTATCTTCCCAGATAAATGTTCCATTCATTTGGCTGGGTTGGAAGATTCCCAATATAAACATCAAAAGTTGGATTACTGGCAAGATGTCTATGGTTTCGACTATACTCCATTCATCCCATTGGTTATAAAGGAGCCAATTGTCGATACTGTTGATAGCAATCTGGTTAACACAACAAGGACTAAAATCATTGATTTCGATTTAAATACGGTCACTTTGGATGACTTGAAATTTAATGTTCCATTCAAATTGCAAGCAAAGAGACAAGACACTATCAATGGTATCATCGCTTGGTTTGATAACGTCTTCCCTGCACCAAAGGGTAAAAAACCAATAGAGTTCTCTACTGGACCTTATGCTCCTTACACACATTGGAAACAAACCGTCTTCTATTTGGAAGATGATTTGGAATGTGAAAAGGGTGATATCTTGGAAGGTACTTTATCATGTGGTCCAAATTCTAGAAACAACAGAGACCTTGATGTTAAAATCAAATACAATTTCAAGGCCGAAGGTGTTGATGGTAAAGAAAGATCAGTTAAGAATGAAAATGAATACTTAATGCATTGATTTAAGGTATTTCTTTTGCATACTTAATTATTTTCAACTGCTGTTGGTTTTTTTTCTCTTTCATCATCCCACTTACCAATATTCCAAAGAATCATGGGCAACTTATTGTATATTATTATTGTTATGAACCTGATTTTTTTTTATTTATAAATAAAACGTATACGTGTATTTAGATGCATATCTGATGTATTATTATAGTTAAGAATAGATATATTGAATAATTCAACAAATTTTGAAGTTTCAAATAATTATTTTCATTAAATATATGAGAAACTAGGACTATATCTTCAGAAGAAAGTTTTCATGTAGAGTTATTCACAATAGCTATAATGGGGTTTTTTTCTAAAGTTTTAGATTGAATTGGAATCACTCTTATATCTACTTTATGGTGATCTATTTGAGGTTTAAAAGTTACTTTGTGCTGACCTTAAGGTGACATTTCGTTCTGTCATTTTCGAGCATTAGAATAAACCCAAGCACGGTAATAGCATAAATAAAATAGAAAAAGAGAGGAGAGGAGTCATGAATGGTCTTGTTAATATCGACATTGTGAACATGATGGATGCTCTGAGAATTTTACTTAAAGGTTATAGAAAAAGAAAAAAAAGTTAAAAATAAATGCTTTCACTCGGAGTTGAACCGAGGATCTCCACATTACTAGTGTGGCGCCTTACCAACTTGGCCATAAAAGCTAATTATTTGTATTTTGACAATGGAATTTTAACTACATTAATATGTTATATTTTCAATTTTTGGTGATAATACATTTAATTTGTAATTTATTTGATAATATAGTTTTCTAATAAACTATTAATTACTATCTTCAATAGATATGTAGTTATTAATATATATATTATTAATAAAAATGTAACTCTTCAAACATAAGACACTAAATAATATCTTTTATTTTCAGGAAAAATGGTAAACTTAGACTAGTATACAGAAAGTTAAGTTTGCTGGGACCAAAATGGCAGTTTTAAGGAAACATATAATATTAAATGTCCTATTTGTAATTTGTTTAACTTTAATTGTTAAAAATAGCGGCAGCACTAAAAAGGCTAACATTAGCTTAACCTATCTGAAGGTGAAGGTAGCTAATATAAGTAGAATTTTAGAGTGTACTGCACTGCCGTATATAGAATAACACATGGTATATACTGCATAATGTAGTATTCGTTCCCCCTACATTGGGTTTTGTTGGAGCTACATTGTCCAACGTTACTATGCACAAAAGATGAGCAGTTTAACAACAGCAACTCTGTTCAACATTAATTTCTTCTTCAGCTTCTTTTGTGGTTGGACAAAATGACTTTAGGATACCCAATCAAGAGAATGAAGAGAATTCCTTATTCAAGTCGTCTATTTTTTCTACGTTTTTAAAAATAGTTAATATTTTAATTTTATATGCTATATAATGTGATATATATATATATATATATATCCATGACCTGGTACTCAGAGTTGTCCATTCTTTACAAAGTTGGCGATTTTTGTAAAATCTTTTACACCATCAGTCTCCACACCCCCACTGACATCTACACCAATGACACCGTGTAAAGTAACAGCATCATGTACATTCTCGGCAGTTAAACCACCTGCCAAAATATATTCAATATTTATCTCATCTTTTGCCTGTATGTCCTTTGACCAATTCGATATTGATTGCCAGTCAAGAATTTCTCCCGTACCCCCGGCTTCTGAATCGAATAAAGGTAGACAAGTTTTTGTATCCATTTGAGAGATTCTGATAACTTCATCACGATCCCTTGGGAATATGACTCTCTTTATGACTGGTTTGTTGATGAACCGTTGATACTCTTCCCAATCTTCATCTCCATGTAATTGTACAATATCGACATTATAATCTGTAGCTAATTTCAGAACATCTTCCTTTGATTGATTTCTAAAGACACCGACAAGGCAACGATCACTATATTCAGACGTTGTATGAACCAATGTTGAGATTTGTTTTGCTATGCTTGGTTCTATAGTTCTCTTTCTATTAGGAACACATATTATACCAATTAAGTTAGCACCTGAATCTAAAGCACATTTTGCAGCATCTATTGTTTGCAGTCCACAAATCTTAACGATAGATTTGTCGGGTACTCTTGATACAACAGTATTAAACCTTTGTAAATCCATTCTAATATACTGTTGTTGTTGTTTTTGTTCTCTTTGTTTGCGTGCTAATCAACTGTGTATAAGATTTCTGTTTTTTTATTATGTAATAATTAGTTTCTCTCTTTATTTTTTTTCTGTCTCCCGTCACCGAAAGGGAAGGACTTAAAGGGAAAAAACCTTCCAGCATTTGATTATATAGATATTGCAACTAAAATATTTATTTAAAAGATATATTTGTTTGATTGTTTTTGAATGTAACTTTATTATATTATGTACCCGAAAAATTATTTAATACAAAACCCCTCCAGAAGAATTTTTTTTTCATTACAATACTAAAAAAATATAAGGGAGAACAACTCGAACAATTCATTACTTGTTTCAAAAGAAAAGTTCCTCTCTTATAATAATAGTTTGTAAAATTCTAATGGAATTGATAGAAAGAAGGAAGAAAAAAAATAGTATAATTTTTATATATAGAAGCCGGAAAAAAAAAGATATTATTAGTCTTTTTTTTTATTATTATTATCTTAATAAAAATGTTTAAGATCTTTCACCTCTTAGTCTTCTAGCTAGTTTAATATCCTTCTTTTGAATAGTGACTCTCTTGGCGTGAATAGCAGCCAAGTTAGTGTCTTCAAATAGAGAGACTAGGTAAGCTTCGACGGATTCTTGTAGGGCACCGATAGCAGAAGATTGGAATCTTAGATCAGTCTTGAAATCTTGAGCGATTTCTCTGACTAATCTTTGGAAAGGTAGCTTTCTGATCAAAAGTTCAGTAGATTTTTGGAATCTTCTGATTTCTCTTAGAGCGACGGTACCTGGCTTATATCTGTGAGGCTTCTTGACACCACCGGTAGATGGAGCAGACTTTCTAGCAGCCTTTGAAGCTAATTGTTTTCTTGGTGCTTTACCACCAGTGGATTTTCTTGCTGTTTGTTTGGTTCTAGCCATTTTAGTTGGTTATTCTGGTGTATTATAAATAAATAGAACAAAAGAAGATAAACTAATAGTAAATAGAAAAAGATAGGAAAAGAGTAAATTTATAAATAGAAGAGAGAAGTGGAAAAAGAGACAAAGTAAAAGGAAATAATGAACCTTTTATATATATAAATTTTTTGATCTTTCTCTCTTTCTTGAAACCCACAAAATAAACAATACAACGATTCTCACCGTTATCATTACCACCAGACTTTAACATTTCATTTGTTTGTTCTCTCCTCTTTTCTTCCCCCTTTTTACTATCTATTGCCTCATGCGATAAACAATAAAAATTTTACTGTAATCCCCTCTCCTTCTTCCTCTGCCTCTGCCTCTGCCTCTCCCACTCTCACTCCAAGGCATTGCATTGCATTCTTTCATCCACTCATTCATTCTCCTTTCCCCCGTACCACAATTTACCAGCCAAAAACACAAAAAACAAAATATTGGGAAGAATAACAGTATAAAATTGGCCGAAACATATATCGTTTTAAAAAATGTTATTAATGGTGCGAAAAAACGGGAATGAATTAATTATGAAGATTGATGAAATTATCAGAACGGACAAATTCTTTAACTTGGTGGACATCTCTCCGCCTCGTTCTCTCTCCGCTTGAGCCCATTCCCGTCTCTTTTTTTCTTAATTCCATGCGCTATTGCCGTTTTGGTACATGTTTTCTGATACGCTGGAAGAGCAAAAAGCAAGAATGATAAATTGAACGCTCTGTGTGTGTCTCTCTCTCGCGCGCGTGTGCGTTTTAATACATTCTGATAATTTCACATCGGATTGATCAAATGACAGTACTAAGCGTTCTCAGATTTTCACTTTCAACTAATGCCATATTAAAATGGTCATTTGAACATACTTTTTTCGATTATGATTATTATTAGTTGCTGTTATTATTTACACAGAGACAATAAAACGAAGGAGGGGAACAGAACAAGAAGAAGATCATCTATTTATTCCAGTAAATTTTTAGTAGTACAACAATAGTATATTGTTTGTTTATTTTCTTTCAAAATTGATATATAAAGACCTTGTTATATTTGTCTTAATCTTAATAATACTTCTTTCCTTATTCCCTTTCAAACTTGTTACTGTTTACATCTTTTTTTGTTTGTTTCTTGTTTGTTATTCTCTTGTTTTTATTGTTATCTCTTTCTTTCTTATACTAGATCAACAAATCAATATATAAATAAATATTTAATAAACAATGTCCGGTAGAGGTAAAGGTGGTAAAGGTCTAGGTAAAGGTGGTGCTAAGCGTCACAGAAAGATCCTTAGAGATAACATTCAAGGTATTACAAAGCCAGCTATTAGAAGATTAGCAAGAAGAGGTGGTGTTAAGCGTATCTCTGGTTTAATCTACGAAGAAGTCAGAGCTGTTCTAAAACAATTCTTAGAATCTGTCATCAGAGATGCTGTTACTTACACTGAACACGCTAAGAGAAAGACTGTTACTTCTCTAGATGTCGTCTACGCTCTAAAGAGACAAGGTAGAACTTTGTACGGTTTCGGTGGTTAAACAATTTAGAAGAAGAAGAAGAATTATTATTCTACTCTTTTTTTAAATCATCGATTTGTATTATATTTCATTTATTCTCTCTCCTATCCCTTAACGGTTATATCTTTAAACAATTTAAAAAAGAAAGAGATACTAGTTATTGGAGTTGAGAATATGGGTAACAATTAATTTTTTTTAAAAACACTATATATCTATCTAAATATTTAACATAGATAAATCTCTTTCAATGGGTAATAAACAAATATCATTAAACAAATATCTTTTTCTTTCTTTTTTTTTTAAATATTTATAAATTTTATAGTTTTGGTATGTATCCTAACATTTACAATTTATACTGTTGTAGTAAATAAAAAAACAAAAGTGATAAAATATTCAAGTATGTTAATATATACTGTTACTAGTTACAATACCATCTTCCAGGGTGCATTCCACATTTAAAGTTTACAGACTTATATAAAATACACTATTTCAGTTATTTATGTCTCTTTGCAATTGATAGAGGGGAATTCTCCACCTCCATCTAAGTTCAAAGTTTTGTACATTACTTTTTTCCACAAGATATTCATCTTACAAAGTCCATTATTTGGAGTGGTAACCATGACTCAACTATATTGATTTTGAATGTAAAACGATATGGAAACAAACCCCAAATAAACCATTTCATCACCCAGTAGTATCAGCAAAATAACATAAGAAACACTTGAAAAAAATACTCTGTAACCTCTCAACCCTCCTGGAAATATATAAACTATAAGTAGCCAACAACCTTCTTCTTATCTTCAAATGATTTAAAATTTAATTCAATAGCTGCATGGCAAGAATGAAAAGCTTCCGCCGTTTGTTGAAATTTTACTTTCATTCTTACTATGCGCATCACGATTAAATTTCGTTTTTGTTTGTTTGTTTGTGCTTTTTTTTTTTAATATCGTCATCATCATCGAGACACGTAATATGATGGAATAAAATAATCATAAGAACAATAGGATTCATATTTGAAACGGCTTAACAATTCTTTAAATAGAAGAAGAACCCCATTTAAAACGAAAACGTATTTTTATATCTAATATCCCATAAACCTTCTTTTGCAAACAGAGAGACACACAATACCATTTTTGATAGAATGGTTACGGACGATCCTAATATCTCGTCCATATCGGAAGAGGTGAACAAGTCGAGTCTCGACGACAGCAACAACAACAACAGTAGCAGTAACAACACAACTACTGCTTACTCAGATACAAATTCAATTAGTACATATTCATATTTCAATTCAAATGCAAGTGTTATCTCTTATGATTCAATATTAACCAATGACAGACTACTTGATAAATTGGACTTAAGTCAAGATGATAAGATTTTATTACAAAATGTCCTTGAAGAAGAGAAAAGACAAGAAACGCAATCAACAAATCAACAAGAAAATGATTCTAGGATAATCTGTGTCCCAGCTTCGCAATTTCCATCTTTAAAGGTTAAACAACTTCCAAACGATTCATTGACTAATAACAATTCTCGTGATTCCATTAGACAATTGTTAGAAAAAGACTTTACATTTAAAGATAAATCTTTGGCGGCACAGGTGGAACAACACTACGCTTCGACTTCAAGGTATTCGTATATAGTTGAAGAGGATTACGATGATGATTTCTTAAATCCACTAAGTAATAAAAACTCAAATGCAGATGCAAATGCAAATGTTAATCAAAACAATACTACCACTGCATCTACTTCTACTTCTTCCAATCCACCTAGGCATATTGTAATGTCTAATAATTATAATTTCAACAATGTAGATGCCCAAAATAGGTTTAACAAAATTTATTCCAAACAAGGAAGGAACTCTATGACACAACCAACTCAATTTAATAATAATATTAGATCCAAACAACAAGGAAATCAAAGACTGTCAACTAATTATCCAAACACCACAAATTACTCGACTTCCATTAAAACTAATCCCACTAATAATCGCTTACCTAATAGAAATTATAATTATAATACAAATAACTCTCATCATCAGAGTATACCGAATTTCGAAAGATTTAGACTAGATAACTCAATATTATCAAAACAGAACCCTCCATTAAATAATTCACAAAACTACTCCAAATTTTATAACAATAATAGTACTAGCAATACTTCTAGTAACGGAATCTCTCATAATCGACGTCATTCTAAAGAACAGTATAAATATCCAGGAGAGGATTCAAATTATGATACCTCTAATGGCAGATTCACGCATGATAAATATCAGTTCCAATCAGTAAATGACAAATTTAATAAATGTCAAACACCAAATAGTGATAGTAATATGACAGTATCATCCAATGCATCGAATAAAGTCGATATTGGTGTAGCAGCAAAACTTTATAGTGGTAAGGTTGACTCAGAACTACCAGGTGCGTATATGTCCAAAAATAGGTCTACATTTACAACCCCAATGAATTCTATAGTGAATGATAAATCGACAGAATATGTTAATTTAATAACTACACCTCAAAAAGCATCGAGGACAGGCGATGATTCACAAGATACCTCATCTGTAGTTCCATTGGAAAAACCAATATCTCAAAAGAGTCACAAGAAAAAATCCTCGTTAAGTTCGTTTAAAAGCCTTTTCAAGACTCCCAAATCTAAGAAATCGCATAATAGTAAAGAGGATTTGAACAGTAAATCTAAGTCTCGCTCAGAAAATTCTACAAAGGTTAAAGATTTCCCTAGAAAGGATAGCTCAAGCTCATTGGATTTAACTTCGTCGAATTCATCAGTCGAGAATTCTCCCTCATTAGGAAAAAGTAATCTTCGTAAATTTATATTCCCTCCAAACCCAAGCTTACATTTAGATTCAAAAGCTAGCCATAATAAAAATGGTAATATTATGTACAAGGACAATCATTACCGTTCTTTATCTGATATGAATAAACCACGTATACCGAAGGCAACGACTGGGTCAACTAGTCTTCAATCATCTCCATCTAGAGTACGAAAGCATAAACACAGTATCTCAACACTATCAGGGGAAGCAACAATATATCTTGATAATTCCAAAATAATTGACCTTGAAAGTCACAAAATATCGACAGGTCTATCTAACGTTTCCTCTCAAGATAATGATATAACCAATGGGGATAATAATGTTAGATCTAGTTCTCCAATATCTCTTTCAAATTCCTTAAAGGAAAATATCCTAATGACCCCAAGCAATGATTTATCGCAAGGAGATAATCACAACTCCAAGGGTTCATGCGAGAGTACCGGTTCAACTATTCATGGTGGTCACGAAAATCAAAATACAAACACTCTCATAACATCAGCAATAAATATGCGTATCGAAGGGAAACTTGAGGCAAGTGCATTGAAACTCAAAAAAGCCTGTGAAGCAGGTAATACAACAGCATTTTTGCTCTATGGGCTGGCACTAAGACACGGTTGTGGTACCCTTGAAGACCAAAAATTATCACTTGCTTACATCAAGAAAGCAACTGGAATTAAGTCCTTTGATGACGAAGTGTATAATCGCGACATCAACCCATTAATACTTGAAGAAAATAATAGTATCCCAACTAAATTACAAGAACCGTTAGTACCTGCACTTCATGAATGTGGTATATCATATTTAAAGGGTTATGGAGGTGAAGAAGCTGACGAGTTGAAGGGCCTAAAATTTTTAGAAAAAGCAGCCTCGTTAAATCATGTAGATTCTATGTGTCTTTGTGGTATTATTTGGTCTCAGAAATCTGAAAATAGAAAGAAAGATATTTCAAGAGCAGCAGCTTGGTTCAGGTTAGCAGATAAACGCGGAGCTAATCTGATAGGATCTGACTGGATCTACAAGAAGAAATACACGAAGGGGAGGTTAGCATAGTTTGCCATGTTATAACTTTTCCTTTTCTCTGTGTATATAAATTGATAAGGAACTTTTTTTTTTTGATTGAAGTTGACACTAATAATTATAATAATATATTCTCTAATTCAATAGACTTTCTCTATATACAAAGTAATTATGAAGACTGTTTTGTTGTAAAAAATAACAATTAGACGTGGTATTTTAGTTACTAAATTCTTGGTGGTAAACATCCGATATTGATTGTCTTTATGACTGTATAATCTTCAATACCATACAATGAACCCTCTCTACCGAATCCAGATTCCTTGACACCTCCAAATGGGATAGAACAATCAGAAAACAACCCTGTGTTAGCAGAAACTATACCGGACTCTAGGGCCTCTGCAACAGTGTAAACAGTGTCAATATTTTTAGAGAATACGTATGACGCAAGACCAAATTCACTGTCATTGGCAAGTTCAACAACTTCTTCTAAAGTGTCAAAGGCAAAAATAGGACACATTGGACCAAATGTTTCTTCTTTTGCAACCAAAGCATCATGTGGAACATGAGATAGAATGACTGGAGCATAGAAGTTTGGACCCAAATCTGGCAATAATCCACCATCGACAACAATTTTGGCACCTCTCTCAATAGCATCCTTCTTATGATGTTCAACTTTAGCGACAGCTTTGTCATTAATCAAACACCCATGAGTATTTTTAGGATCTAAACCATACCCAATTGAAAACTTTTTGACTTCTGCTGCCATACGTTGAGCAAACTCATCGATAATGGAAGAATGGACGTATAATCTATTGCAACAAACACAGGTCTGACCTAAACCCCTAAATTTGGAGGCAATTGCTTGTTCTACGGCTTGATCTAAGTCTGCGTCATTAAAAACAATCAAAGGAGCATTCCCTCCTAATTCTAAAGATAGTTTCTTTAACGTTGATGCTGATTGCTTCATCAAGATCTTACCAACATTTGTTGATCCAGTGAAAGTAATTTTTTTCACCTTTGGTGATTCACATAATTTCAAACCAAATTCTGGAGTCCTAGTATGGCTGAGGACAATATTTAAAGTACCTTTTGGAATACCTGCCTTTTCAGCAAGATAACCCAAAGCTAATGCAGAAAGTGGAGTGGAAGAATCTGGTTTGATTACTACAGTACAACCTGCAGCTAGTGCAGCTGCAGCCTTTCTAGTAATCATAGCGCTGGGAAAATTCCATGGGCAAATAATACCACAAACACCGACTGGTTGTCTTAAAGTAATGACTCTATTATTAGGGTTACTTGGCTGAATTGTAGAACCATATAATCTTGGTGCTTCTTCAGCATACCATTCAAAATAAGATGCGGCATATTTGATTTCACCAATTGCATCAGACATGGCTTTACCATTTTCCCAAGCGATGATCTTTGCCAAATCGTCAATATTTTCAATCATTAAATTGTACATATTTCTTAACCACTTAGCCCTATCTCTTGGGGGTGTATTTTTATAAGTCTTAAAAGCATTGAAAGCTACATCGATGGCTCTCTCGACCTCAGAGACAGGTTGTTCAGGTAGTTTTGCAATTACTTCGCCACTGGCAGGATTGGTTACCTCAAAATATTCGGGAGCAGAATTGATCCATTCACCGTTAATGTAAGCCCCCTTTCTAACCAATTCTGGGTCTTGAAATATAGGTTGAGGGAAACGTTCAGATTGCATTTTTTTTTAAATGTATAATGTTCTGTACAGATTAGTTTCTATATTTGCTCGTTTTTATATCTGTAGATATTGTTACTGTTATTAGAAATAAACTTACAATATGTTTTAAATAGCAGCAAATTAATTAACTTATTAACAGTATATTTAATATTAAAATAATATCACTGGACTACCTATTAATGAATATTCACAGGTACTCCAAAGACTATTATCTGTTACCATTATCAGCCTGTCCCTTATATATATAGGATGGACACCTTATAATTGTATGAATGGGGCAACTGGAAAAAATAAAAGAAGGTCCGATGGGAAATCCAATTTTCGGATCGTTAGATAGAGAGAAATGCCGCAGGGAACCCGCCAGTTCTGATGATTCAATTTGATTAGCCTGAAACTGATTTGATAAACAATTTCATTGATTGATCGATTGCGATAAGAAGTTCAAAATAGACAGGAAAAGATTAGATAAGATAGTTGCAATCAGTGGGACAATTAATGTTTGATCTGACTGCAACTGTTGATAAAAGTTTGTAACGATTCATTTCTGTCGTGTCTGATTTGTTGTCTTGTCATAAGTGTGTTGCATCTGAGGTACTGATAAAAAGGGTTTGGAGTTCGTAGTATCTTATTTACATACAGTATGTGATCTCAAGAATCTATCTGGTCAGTATATAGTGTGCCTATGCGTACGATTTCGTTGTTGCATAGGTATTACTTCCTTGTTGAAATTTCGACACACAATTAAGTAACGTAATATTTAGTACCGCTGAATTGATAGAAAAAGAAATTATAAGGCACCAAGAATCTTGTAAAACGATATATTTATCCAGTCTCTTTCGGTTTCTCAAACAGGTTTTCCCTTTTATGGCTTTTATTCTTTTTAAAGTGCCATAAACTTTTCTTCTAGATGAATTACAACAAAAACAATTGAAACGCCCTAATATGTATATATTTTCCCATCGGCCTACGCAAATACTTTTTCGAAATACTCAAACATAAAAAGAGATGAGGAAGAAAGTTTCTACAATTGCAAGAGCTAGTTCAAGTCATTATCTTCATATAACAATCTGAAATCTGGGTTGCTACCCTCCCATTGTTCCCGTTTATAATGCTCAAACGTTTACACTCACGAACTACCGCCCAACCTGAGGTCTTAATAGATGATGATGGCAAAATTGACAAGCAACAGACACAATTCCAAGAGAAACCATCAACAGTGAATGAATTCACACATATTGGTATACTATTCTTAGTGGTAAGAGTCATTCAATATTCACTTATTCTACTCACACCATTGTCCTCATTTGATAATTCGACAAAGTTATTACTGAATACATACGCCTCTGAAGAAGAACAAAACAAATTTATTAATAAACATTTAATAAATAAGTTATTATCATGGGATTCGGTATATTTTGTTAAAGGAATGATGTCGAGTTCATCACTACCTCAATATGAACATGAATTTGCATTTTCTATCACATGGACAAATATCCTTAAACATGTATATCAAAAGTTGCATCTAGCACATGAATATGAACCAGTCTCATTTTATGGTATCCTGAAAATGGGTATTATTTTAGAAAATATACTTCATTTTCTTTCAATAATTATCCTCTATCACTTGACATATCTCGTCTTCAGCCCAAAGGGTTCAATTACGCATAACAGGTATGCGGCGCAAATGGCTAAGAAGACAGCTATATTACATGTAGTCGCGAGCGCTGGTGGATTTTTATTAGGCATATACTCTGAACCGTTATCATGTTTATTGTCCTTTATGGGTATGTTAGCCAGGGAACATTGTACGAAGGATGTTACATACAAATATTCATTCATGAACCCTATCAAATCGTTTATACTTTACACGATTGTCTCCACAATATGTTTTAGTGTTGCAACATGGAATAGATCAAATTGCATTCTTTTGGGCATCTTTTATCTTTATGACCTTTTGCAATTGATGAAAATCAAATCTTATAAAAGAGCAATCCAGTTTCCATTATTATCTGGTCTTTTAATGTTAAGTTCAATTATGATTCAACAATATTATATTCCATACAAGAAGTTTTGTCCTGAAAGAGGTGAATGGTGTCTAACATCAATTTTCCCTAATACATATTTGTCGTTCATTACAAAGGAGTCATTATATTCTTACATTCAATCCCATTATTGGAATGTCGGGTTTATGTCATATTGGACTCCAAACAATATTCCAAATTTTTTATTTGCATTGCCAAACTTGATCATCATTCCATATGCATCATTTTATTATTCATGGATTTATCCACTACATAATTTGAGACCTCTTATTCTAATATCTGTGGCCTTTTGGATTCTAATGTTATTTGTTGCGAATACTCAAATTATTAATCGTGTGACAACATTCATACCTTTACACCTATGGTATATATCAGATCGATTAGTTAAAAACACAGGTGATCATAAGATGGAATCTGTGACAAAAAATGATGATTTATTGGTAAAATATTATATATATTGGTCGGTTATATGGTTATTAGTACAAACAATATTATTTGCCAGTTTCTTACCACCTGCATAAACAACGCAATTAATACGTTTTAAAGACTTTATTTATATTTATTATAAACTACTTTCTGCATCTCAATAAAATATTAGACACATTTTTTTCTTTAGATATATTTATCTTTCTAATGAATTACAATTTTATTTTTAATACTTTTTATTTTTATGTATGGTTATTTATTTATTTCTTTAATAAATCCAAAAACAAAACAAAAACGAAGTAGAAGAAAAGGGATATCATATATCCTAGTTCTTTTTTCTTTTTGTTATTTCAGTTGTTATTAAATGCAAAAAGATCTTGAAATGAGCGGAATACAATCAGATCCCATTATTTAGAATCTTACAATTTTTGATTACTATTACTTTTTTAATCCTTCTTGTTCAATTCTTGAGCCTTTTCGAATTCTTCCTTGAATTTATCAGCATTTTCTTTGTTACCGAATCTGATAGCAAAAGTGAAAGCTTCAGCATCACCTTCAGCGATGTCACCGGTACATGTGTAAACCCAGGATCTATCAGAACCAACATTTGGTTTCAAAATATATTCTGGAGCAATAATATGGTTAGCACAAACCTTTAGAGTCTTATCTCTTCTCATCAATAATCTGACTTTACCAGTAGCCTTACTCTTCAAGAACTTACAGTCACCAGTACCTCTTTCCTTCCATTCCTTGGCTTCGGCATCGAATCTAAATAATTTAGCTCTAACTTTGAACAAGACATCTTCATTTTCTTCGTTAGTCTTCACGTCGACTTTTTCTAGATGAACAATTGGTTCGAATTGAGGATCATTCTCTTCGACAGCTTCGGCGTCGTCATCAGTCTTCTTAACTTCCTTCTTTTCTTCTTCTTTAGTTTCTTTAGTTTCAGTCTTTTCAGCCTTTTTACCACCAAACATGGAGAAAACAGAGGCGGTTGGTGGCTTGGTGGCGGTAGAATCTTCAGCAGTAGTTGGTTTAGCGTCAGTAGACATTATGTAAGGTGGATACTAGTTTGATGTGTGGTTTATATAGATAGTACTCAAGATCAAATCAAAAACAAAAAAATGTATTAAACTATATAGCAAAACTGAGATTCATTGGAAGCATCCCTTCTTAAGTATTGCAATAACGTATCATTAATATATATATAATTTTTAAAATGCGAAGGATTTCACGAAAACCAAAAAAAAATTAAAAAAAAAAATTTCCATCGCCGTCGCCGTCGCCAAAATTATGAAAATTTGGGTGAGAAATAGACATTTCTTAGTCGTAGATTGTGATGTTGAGTAGCAAGATTCCCATTATTAGTTTAAATTACTCTAATTAGTTTAATGGTGCAGGAATAAGATTAATATTTAATCTCTAATTAAGTATTAATATTTATGATAATAATTTTATAATAATGGATCCACTTTGTTGTCAATATCCCTTTTCTTTATATTTATATTATAATTATTATAAAGAACAAAAAGGAATCCAACCCCATTTTTAGTGTTCGCATCGTAGTTTCCTTAGAAGAAAGAAGAAAAAAAGAAAGAAAGTTCAAAGTAATACTATTATTATATAAGGGATCCCCTATAAAGATGGATTTTCTTATATAGATAACAGTTTAATTTTGCTTTTTGGAAATGTATTTATATATATACTTGTGACTCAGTAAGTAGATTTCGATATAGATTACACTGATAGAATATATATTCACATCCATAGGTGCATATATATACATGTAATTAACAGTCTTCTATTGCATCAAGATAAAGAAAGTTAAGCTAACTGATAGAAAACCAAACTAGATTTTTATTATTATTATTATCAGTTGTTCAGGGAATAATTTGCATGCACACAACACACTTCATATCTTTCTTTTAAATACATCACTCACTACTTCTTCTATTGCAGTGAGCTGAGAAAAAATAACAACATTAAAACTCATTACATATATATCTAATAATACCCTACTTTTATTTTTAATTTTTTGTGCCTTCCTATTCTTTAAAGACATAAAAATAACAACTAAAGATGGAAAGGTTAGGAAATTTAAAGACTTACCATTTCCCCCCAGAAAATAATGATGATGACAGCTCTCAGAGTCCGGATTCATCACCAATAGGCGGTTCGACTACACCGAACCTTCTTTCCCAAAATTCAGATGAACAAGGAAAACAAATGTCTAGAACACCAAGAAGAGTATCATCTACTAATGAATATGACGATCCATTCTCTAATGCAGAAATATATTACGGACCTGAAACTGACCCAAGAAAGACTACAGTCAAATACCTGAAGCCTGGCACGAAATTAAATAGAACAAGAACAATGAGTGTCTTTGGTAATATATCTACCTCTAGACAAACTATGTTAGATGACCATTACTTAAGGAGACGTGGTTCAGAAGATGATAGTTATTTAAGTAGTAAAGGGAATCGTCGTTTTTTCATTGAAAATGTCGATGCTACTTTGGAAGAATTACTTAGAAATGAAGATACTGACAGAAATTATCAAATCACTATTGAAGATAAAGGTCCAAAAGTTATTAAAGTCGGTACTGCAAATTCCTTTGGGTTTAATCACATTAGTATTAGAGGTACTTATATGCTTTCTAATCTATTACAAGAATTAACCATCGCTAAGAGTTTTGGTAGACATCAAATATTTTTAGATGAAGCAAGAATTAATGAAGATCCAGTTAATAGATTATCTCGGTTAATCACTAACCAATTCTGGAATAGTCTAACAAGAAGGATCGATTTATATAATATTGGTGAGATGGCTAGCGACGGTAAAATCGATACACCTGAGGCAAAGAATCCCAGAGTATACGTTCCACATAATTGTCCGGAACAATATGCTTTCTATATTCAAGCTGCACAAATGAATCCTTCTTTGAAATTAGAAGTCGAATATTTACCAGAAGCAATCACTCCGGAGTACGTCAAATCATTAAACAGAACACCAGGGCTGTTAGCTTTAGCTATGGAAGAACATGTAAATCCTTCAACCGGTGAGGCATCTTTGATAGGTTATCCTTATGCTGTTCCTGGTGGTAGATTCAACGAATTATACGGCTGGGACTCTTATATGATTGCATTAGGTTTACTGGAAAGTAATAAAGTCGACGTTGCCAAAGGTATGGTCGAACATTTTATGTTTGAAATTAAACACTACGGTAAGATACTGAATGCAAACAGAAGTTACTACCTTTGTAGATCGCAACCGCCGTTTCTGACAGATATGGCTAATATCGTCTTCGATAGAATCGGAGGGGATAATAACCCAAGTGCCATTAATTTTATAAAGAGAGCATTCGTTTCTGCTATTAAAGAGTATAAATCAGTTTGGATCTCTGAGCCAAGATATGACCAAGAAACTGGTTTGTCTTGTTATCATCCAGATGGTATTGGTATTCCCCCAGAAACGGAACCTGATCACTTTGATACTATACTGTATCCTTATACTAAGAAATATAATTGCTCTTTGGAAGAACTTAGAAAAATGTATAACAATGGTGATATAAAAGAACCAGCACTAGACGAATTCTTCCTCCATGATCGTGCGGTGAGAGAGTCGGGACACGATACCACCTACAGATTTGAAGGTGTCTGTGCCTATTTGGCTACAATCGATTTAAATTCTCTACTTTATAAGTATGAGACTGATATTGCGGATGCCATTGAAAAATACTTTGGTGATAAGTTTGTTGATCCAAACGATTATTCTGTGTCAACATCTGCTGATTGGAGAAAATTAGCTAACCAAAGAAAGGAGAGAGTAAACAAATACATGTGGGACGAAGAGTCCGGCTTCTTTTTTGATTATAATGTACATATCAAAAAAAGAACTTCGTATGAATCAGCAACAACTTTCTGGGCTTTGTGGTCTGGATTAGCAACTCCCCATCAAGCACAAGTAATGATAGAAAAGACTCTTCCAAAACTAGAGGTTCTGGGTGGTTTAGTTTGTTGCACCGAGAGATCAAGAGGTCCTATTTCAATCAACAGACCATTCAGGCAATGGGACTACCCATTTGGATGGGCTCCACATCAAATATTGGCATGGAAGGGTCTAGAGGATTATGGTTATAAAGGTATTGCTACAAGATTGTCTTATCGTTGGTTGTTCATGATGACGAAGGCTTTTGTTGATTTTAACGGTATTGTGGTAGAAAAATATAATGTTACAAGTGGTATTGACCCTCATCGTGTGGAGGCTGAGTATGGTAACCAAGGTGCAGATTTTAAGGGGGTAGCAAAAGAAGGTTTTGGCTGGGTAAATTCAAGTTACTTATTGGGACTTAAGTACATGGACAGTCATGCTAGGAGAGCTTTAGGTACTTGCATTCCACCAGATCCTTTCTTTAAAAATCTGAGACCAGATCAAATGAAAACTTATGATTTATAGTTACACTATATAAAATTTTTTCTTATTTATATTTAATTAAGATCCGGTGACAAAAAATGGGTTTATGAATAAACTATTCTTCGAATTAAAAATAAAGTAGGTCTATCTTCAACTATTTTACCTCTGTGTAGGATATTTCTTTAAATGTTATAACATTTTACTAGGTTGTATATTTCATCTCAAAAAAAGTAAGAAGTTATCATAAAATAAATCCTCAAAATGAATGTTAGATTTTACACATCCTCTACTTAGTATTCGTTAAGTTAAGTCCCCTATGAAAATAATGTTCTAAATGAAATTCTTAACAGCATTTTAATTTAAGATACACTATGTATTCATTTTCAAGCCATATACTGGCCGAAAAATCTTAGCTACTAATTTTAATCCAAAAAAGGATACATTCTATTATATTCAAAAAATTTGACAATATGTTATAATTCATGAACTGACAACTACTAATACAGAATCTGTGAATATTTCTGACATAATATATTTATAAAACAGAATTTAACTTTCTTCATACTAATGGTACCGTTAAGTTATAATACGGACCAATAATTGACTATCTCGGTCTAACAAAAGTATAAAAGCTTTAAATAAGTTTATATTTATTATTTCCACTATATATTTCGGTAAGCGTACCCAATTTATATTTTTAAAGTTTATTTAATATTTTAATATAAATTTAAAGAGTCACGTGGATTTATTATTGTGCTTTTTTTATTTTTTGAAAAGACGGGTTTGGAACAAAAATTATTCTGTTTAATGAATAGTGTCAAAATGGTTGAAATGTTTATAAAATTCCTTTCGTCAACTACATTTCATTAAAGACTCACATAATCAGTTATTACTTGGCATTTTTAAGATATTAAAATTTAGTTTACAAGTGATGTAATTATGCAGTAACAAATTTCTTTTTTCTTTTTTTGACATTCCCGACCTCCAATGTACCAATCAGTCCAACGTTAGTTCTACTTATTCTCATAAATTGTTTAAAGAAATAACGACTTAGAGCTGATATTTTTTTGGATTCAGCCTCATGAAGTCATTCTTGACAGTAGATCCAATTAAAGACAAATGTGGTAACAATGTAGTAATTTATTCTATTAAAATATGCTCGACACCATTAGAGCTCGCGATTTGGTGGTTTAAGTAAACACTTCAGGATATAATGTCAAAGAAGACCATGAAGGGAAAATCGATAGTAAACATATCCTTACCCTTAACAGTCTTCATTTTGTTATAAGATTTAAAAAAATTCGTCAATAAAATAAAGCGTAGCCACATTTATTTTATGTTCCCAGAGAGTTACTTAAGACTTTCAACATATGGAGATGTTGTGGTGCAGCCTAATGAGATATAAAACGAAAGAGTGGTTTTTGAAATGTTACAACCATTTTGTAACTTCCTACAACTATGACATGTTTATGATTTTAAGTCAAGAAACAAAATATCTGAAGAAAGAAGTGGCTATCATATCGAGACTATGTTTAGAGTAAATTCTACATCACAAGTATAACTAACAGAATAAATGTTGCGTTATAAGGAATTTTGACCTTCCTACATATTAGATTCTTTATAGTAACGTTATTTGACATGATTGTATCTTAAGTATAAACACATCATTATCAGAACTTTGTTTTGTAGAATTGGTGGCTAATGTTTTTTTATAGTATTAACAAAAACATAATTACCCCGCAATATTGTTTTTTTAATTTAACTTTATTAAATCAAAGTTGAAGTTAAGGGAACATTAAACATGAAGTTAGTTTAAATAATGATGGATTAAAAGAATATTTATTCGTTAAAAAAGTAATATTACAAAACTGGTTTTATATCTATGAACTGGAACAGAATAGCTATAAAACTAACTGATGGTATAAAGAAAAAAGATTATTAATCTTAACGAAAAGCTGAAGAGATGATTTTGGGGAAACTTTTACTGACCTTATAAATATTTCTCTGAAACTACAGCTGGAATTAAATCCCTTAAGGCACTAAATTCAACCTTAATAGGAAAACTAACCAAAACAATATTGAGTTCCAGAAAAGATTGTTTAGACAGTTCACCTGTGAAGGGATATTATAGTGCTGTAATGGAATTAATTTTTATTTTTTGGAGGCTTTTTTCTCTTCTTTTTTCTATCTAAAATAACCTGTGGGGTTTGTAAGCCTTCTATTTGTTGGGAGCCCCATTGATGTAATGTTTTAAGGTGTTTAACAAGGTGATCCTTTCGTTTAAATCTCTTTTTCAGGCAAGCGGGGCAGCGCCATGGTCTTTCTTCTGAGTGCACAGTTTCCATATGTCTATCGAGATGCGAATCGCTTTGACACATTCTTAAGCAATCAACACATCGATGAGTCTTCTTTTGTTTGGCTCCTTCCTTTTCTCCTCTATTATTCACCATATTGAGACTATAGCTAGCTCTTGTGGTTTCATTCTGCGATGTAACCTCTTCGCTGTATTGTTGTGTTTCATCAGCATTGTTTTCTAGAAACAAATCAATTACCGAAACAACTTGAGAGGAGTCTTCTACTTCAACCACATTATCGTTTTGTTCTGGTGAAGGTGATTTTGAAATTTCTACTCTATTGACTGGCCCAATATAGTCAGTTAACCTTGGATTACTTTCAACATGTCCGAGTTGTATAGCTTCCCTTGTGATATTATTATTGTTATGATTTTCTTGTTGTGTGTGATCAGTAACCATGTTGTTTGCTATGATATTATACTGTTCTAATGGGTTAATAATAGGTCTAAAGTTACCTATGCCAATGTCAGAAGGTAAGTACGAGAAGTCACCTAATGGGTCTTCAAGATTCAGTTCCGCCGATAAAAGAAAAGGGTCCTCAGCTCCATGTGGTAAAATAAAATTTACTGGATCGGATTGGAATGTCATTAGTATAGAGGTGTTTTAGGATTGAATTCTCTCGAAGCTTTTAATTATTATTGTTATTGAATTTGTTAACTATGTTTTTGTTTGGATATAGTGATAATATCATAAGTTTAAAAGAAGTGTGGACTTAAATTGGAACTAATTGGAAAGTTGTTCAACTTTTATATAATTTTTGATTTCTTGTTCTAGTCCTTATCACTCTTTCTGATTGATTGAAATGGTATACCTTTTAGGGGATCGGTTTTCCTCATTCAAAACGAAGTTGAACTCTTAACTTATCACACAGTATCTCTAGCACAAAGTAATACAAATAAATTAATGTTTTTAATCTTTTAAAAATAAAATTTTACTTATAATTTCCTTTCCATATGTACTTGATGTGAGAATTGATCCCTTCTTTTACCCACAAGACTACCTTAGACTTTCATCAACACATATTTTCAGTAGGTAATAGAACCCAACTTTTGTATCAGAAACAATGAAAACGCTTAAGAGGTATTTAACGATCTACTTAACTAGTCGTAAGAGAAATTTACTTCTATTACTCTACCTTATTGTAGTCATATCTCAAAAATATTAACAGAGATTATAAAATGGACTATAGAGGTTTAGAAAAAGGTGATACGAGGTAATACAAATTATGATTATTTTTTTCAAAACGTATAGATCTCTATTTAATTCCACTCACACCTCAGTAGGATAAATATATGTTTTATTTTTACCCACTATAATCATGTCACATTTGTGAGAGCTCCTGGTATTTACAAATTTTACTTAACGTTTTGTGACACTTTTTTTTTCCTCGCTATTAGATATTCGGCTTACTATAATGCCATTACAAAGGAAATAATAGTAAAGTACGAAGAGCAAAAAACAGTCCATGACTACATATTAGTAGTCATTAAAATTAAGTATTATTATAATGTTTCATTTTGTTAGATTTTCAATGGTTTAGGAATTTCAGTAATATTTTGTCTTAATAGAAATGGTAAGAGCTGAACCGGTACATGAGTTGTGTTATGTCCTTTGATGAGACTTAATTTATATCTTTATTTTACTACTTAGTTATTGAGGTCTATCACTATAGATATAACAGTATGTTAAATTACAAATTGGAAGATTTATGAATAAAGGGAAAGGACAGAAATGTGTTCTACAGAGGGTTAGTTTAATAGTAATACAATAATATTTCTTCTTTAATTATACGTTTGACTGTATATAATTCTAGTAATATCCAAACAAAAAATATAATATAGAGTTATAATCAATACGTACTTTAATTTATTATTTGAAAGTTATTTCAATATTTGTTATTTTTTACCACTTAATTTTTTTTCAAAATAACAATTATTCTACTAAACAATAACAAGATTTAGAAGGATTACGCTAGTTTATTAACAGTTTAAACCAAAGGATTTTAAATATTAATTATGTTTGACTATAAATATCTATAAACAGCTAAAAACGTTAAACTGAGATTAATAGACAATTTACAAAACAAAACAAAAAATGAAAATTTAGGTTCTTTGCATTATTAAATTTCCATAATTCCACTATACTATATAAAGAAGAATACACCTTTAGTGCAATGATTATTTTGTAAAATTAGTTTTTGAACAAATTTATAATGTCAGTAAATCTGGCTATAAAAAAAAATTTATTGTAATTGATTACCCTATATAACATATAGACCCCAAATAAAAGATGTAATAATGTCTATATGTATGTATGTATGTACCCTATTTTTAATATATATAAAGATAAATATATTCTTTCAAGTTTAAGCTTGAGTAGAAGAAGAGTACTTAGTAACGGCTCTAGTACCTTCAGAGACAGCGTGCTTAGCTAATTCACCTGGTAGAATTAATCTAACAGCAGTTTGAATTTCTCTAGCAGAAATAGTAGACTTCTTGTTGTAAGCAGCTAACTTAGAGGCTTCAGTAGCGATTCTTTCAAAGATATCGTTAACGAAAGAGTTTAAGATAGACATAGATTTTTGAGAAATACCGGTATCTGGATGAGTTTGTTTTAGAACTTTGTAAATGTAAGAGGAGTATGTTTCCTTTCTAGCCTTAGTTCTCTTCTTACCTTCGATACCAGAAGAAGTCTTCTTGGCAGCTGGCTTCTTTTCAGCTGGAGCCTTAGAGGCAGGTTTCTTTTCAGCAGGAGCAGACATTATAATTATATGTGTGTATATGTGTAGTTGTACAGTTAAATTTGTTAAATAAAAGAAAATAAGAGATATATTAAAAAACGCAGAACCAAAAATTAAATAAATAAGAGAATGTTATTGAAAGAAATATATGTTAACGTATTTACAAAAAGTTGATCTATTCTTCTTTTATATATACGCCCCACCCTTGACAACGAGGACGACCATCTGTGAACTGACTTATTGTTTGCATCTAACTATCAGTAGCACTAAACATGAAGTCTTATTGAAGTTCCTTAAATTGTTCGTAATTTCATATGTTGAAATTGTCATTAAAGAAAGGGAACAATATCAATATCAATCTATATCTATTCATAGTGAAGCAGAGAGAGAAAACTCCTAAATTTTTCAGTTTATTATGGAGCTGAAGATGGAATGGAGGAGATTTCTGAGAGGATCGAACCCGTTCTGAGAATGGATACGTGTAGAACTGAGCACGCTTATTGAAGGGATTCAGATGGAAATGTATGTGATATACGCGTATTTTTCAGAACGGGTCCAGGATATTCCCTCATTTTGTCTATTCTGAGTTATACGCCTGACCACGCGTAACGGTCAGTACTAACAAAAATGTAATTCAATTATATTTCAATCATAGTAATAAAGTGTAAGAGAAAGTGCTTTACCAAGACCATTTTTCTGATCCAATTCAATTCTATGTGATCTCTCTGTCTCCCCTTAATAATTATAGTAGTGATAAGTTAACTAAACTAAAGATGCTTTTATTGTCTTATTGATTTAATTAAAAAAAAATTCTTGCAGTCGTAACGTAAGTGGATATATATATAAAGAACGAAACAAGACAGTAGTTACAAATTGATCATTCTTTTAAATTAAGAAAACCTTTTTTTCGTATATGTGTCTTCATATTTTATAGTTTCTTACATTATTAATTTTATTTTTCAATCCTCGTTTATTTCTTCTTATTCTTAGAGATACTAACACAACACAAATAAACAACAAATCAAATAATATATATACATAATGTCCGGTGGTAAAGGTGGTAAAGCTGGTTCTGCTGCTAAAGCTTCTCAATCAAGATCTTCTAAAGCTGGTCTAACTTTCCCAGTTGGTAGAGTTCACAGACTTCTAAGAAGAGGTAACTACGCTCAAAGAATTGGTTCTGGTGCTCCAGTTTACTTAACTGCTGTTCTAGAATATTTAGCTGCTGAAATCTTAGAATTAGCTGGTAATGCTGCTAGAGACAACAAGAAGTCTAGAATTATTCCAAGACATTTACAATTAGCCATCAGAAATGATGATGAATTGAACAAATTGCTAGGTAACGTCACCATCGCTCAAGGTGGTGTTTTACCAAACATTCATCAAAACTTGTTGCCAAAGAAGTCCTCAAAGCCAAAGGCTTCTCAAGAATTATAAACTGTTTTGAAAGGATAAAACATATTACAATATTCATTCATTAGCTTATTATTTCTTTATTTTCTATCTTTCTTTTTGGGGTTTAAAACAATATTTTTTTTTCTCTTTGCAAGGTTTAATAACACAATGATTGATTGATACGAATATCAATCAATCTTTACAGTTAACTTTGTTGTATAATTAGTTTATATAAATATACACACATACATATTTTAATATTGTTATAGGTATTATTAGTAACAAAAAAAAAAAGAGAACACATTCATACCAATTCATAATAGATCTTTGGATTTTATACATATTCTATCATATGTATTGTATATTTACTCCGTTGGACCAATAATATCGAAGTATTTATTTTTCAGTCACATGCCTTTTTTTCTTTGCGTGTTCGCCCTCACTATTACTATGTCGCCTTACTGCAAACGATGAAAAATTAAAGGATAATTTGATTAGAAAGAAGATATAAAGGATCAAGGAGCATAAGTGTAACAGAATCACATACATATATTGGATATATTAACATAACTTAAAAACAGGTTTAATAATAGTGTTGCCATTTGATTGTTATAAAAGTAATTTTTTTTTGTTAGATTATTTTATATAGATACAGGAGTAAATCAAGAGAATTATTTTTATTTTTTAATATTAAACATGTTGTCTCGTACCATTGCCACTGCAAGAACTTTGCCAAGATCAATTAATCTAATTTCCAAACGTACTTACGTTGAAGCTGTTGAAAATGCTCTAAAATTACAATTTTCTTTACCTCACGAAACATTATACTCTGGAGTTAAGGTCAACCAAGTTAACTTACCTGCGCAATCCGGTAAGATGGGTATCCTTGCCAACCATGTCCCAACCATTGAACAATTATCTCCAGGTGTTGTTGAAATCCTTGAAGAAAACTCTAATACAGCAAAGAAATATTTCATCTCTGGTGGATTTGCCACTGTTCAACCAAATTCTGTATTAAGTATAACTGCAGCTGAAGCATTCCCATTAGAATCATTTTCTCCTGAACATATCAGAACTTTGCTAACGGAAGCTAAAGGTAAACTAGCTGACTCAGATGCAGTTGTTGCTGCCGAGGCTGCTATCACCGTAGAGGTCCTAGAACAACTAGAAGCTGCTACAAAATAATGATCGTCGATTTGCCTTTTTGTTTAATAAAAGATAAAAAATAAGTAATGTCATTTCAACTTCATTCATGGGTATACCAGTTTTAACATCACAAGGCAAACTCTTCCGCTCCTATACCTATATATATAGATATATGCTATGCTAGGTGCGTATGCCTAGCACAAAAGGGCAGTTGATGTCTGACATCATTTACCCGTTTTTCTATTTCTATTTTAATATTATTCAATATCTTTACATATAAAACTCAACTTTTTATTATAATTTTGAATTAACAGTACAGGTTATATATATATAGTGTTTCCTGCAGTACTATCGGACTTTGGCATTATCTTATAAATATACATATATACTTACGAAGTTATTGTTTGGTTACTACTCTATAAGTTGATACCTGCGGTCGATCCAGAGATATTATTTGTCATAAGATTTGGCAATTACTTAATTGATTCTATTAAATAGAATATAGAATATATATATATATTTTAACTCCATTAAACTTGCCAGAGAGTTTTCTTTTTTTCTAAACGAAGTGCTTCACCTTTTATTGTGAAAATACTCCACGATGACAGTAAAATGATAAATGTACTTTGAGTATCATGTATATTTCAACACTAAGTTAATATACAAATATTTATTTGTAAGACGTCGACCGAAGGCAGAATTTGTCGTCCCTCTCTTTAAAGCCAAATTTAAATGGGATGTTACAGTTTAGTGATGAACAACATTTATGTCATTACCAAATAGTATTCCACATTTTTTATATACCAGTAAATATTGTAGATATATATGTGCTCAGAATATTAATTCACTTTGTCTGAAGTTACATTATTCTAAGGCTTGTTGTTAGAGCTTTCTAACAATTATATAGTTTAATTTAAGCTCATCTGAGTGATCAGTTATTTGATATTTGATATAATGATATCTATCGGTAAGATTATACCTTTTATAATTGGCCGATTAATTACCCACACCACAGAATGTGTTATACTCTGGATCAATCAATTGCACGACAGCTAATATTTTCTCCTCTATAATCAATTCGCGACTATTGTAAGATTTGTAGATTGTCCCATTTATAAAGACATCAGAAGAACCCAAAGCAACCATGTCATAAACACCGGGTCAATTAATAACTTTATAGAACTTTAAACCATACCGGAAGTAGTTAGTATTTGTACACTAGTGAATACGGGATCATTGGTATATACAACTAGTAGATGGCCACAAGAATCCATTTTATTAAATTGATATGGATAAGAAATAAAAAGTAGATATAGAAGGAAGTGAACGCCCTAATCTACTCAATTAGCTACTTTTTTATTTGTTAGCAAACAAAAAAATAACAAAGCCACTAAATACTGCTTATTATCTTATTGTGAACCAAATATTAAAGTAGGGTTTCGTTTCATAGCTATACTTACATTAACTGGCATCATGGATTCTATCAATAAAAAGCAAGAAAACTCCGCAGTTCAACTCTATCAAGATTTCTACAATGTCTCAAAAAACAAATTTCTTGCTTACGTTTCTGTGAACTGTATGTCAATAATGCCTGGTTTGAAGTCTGTATACTCAATATAACTTAAAAATGCAAGTAAAAAATTTCACTAGCGGACGTTCATGTAAGAGACTAATATATACTAACTGGATATATTATCATTACTTTATAGTTCTTTATTTATCAATTTAAATTTAGTTCTCTAACTCAATTAACATTGAGACCTGGGGAATGTATTTTATTATACTGTATATTATTTCTGAAACTATCTATAAACTCTAGCTAATTGTTTTATATTATTAGTTAAGCTTAACGTCCGTGCTACCTTACAGTCTATGTATCTTGTGTGTATGTCTAAATAAGTCTCTTTCCCCACCATACGCGAAAAAATATACAAAGCGTGTACGGATTACTCGAAATTTTTCGATGTTTGTTTACATTTAAAATTGTTTATATAATAAACAGATCATATATAGATAGATAAACAAATAAACTTATATAAATAGGTCATAAATATAAACAAACAAAAGAAATAACAACAGTAATATATCAAACAAGAAATGTCTGCGAATATTGCACAACCTTATACTGTGCTTAAGATAGGCACAGATGCTGGTCCATTGGCTCAAATATGGCTAGCTGCTAATATGTCAAACATCCCAAGGGGATCCGTCTTACAAACGAGTATAAACGAATCCGCAAAGGAAATCGCCAAAGTTTCTGGTTGTGAACCAGAAATTGAACAGAATAATGAAAATATTACTTTACATGTGTCCGGTGAATTATTACAAGGGATCGTTCGTGTTTATTCCAAACAGGCAGGTTTCCTATTATCTGACATAAAAGACACATTGACTAAGATCACAGCCTTATTTAAAACACATTCAAGAGTAAATGTAACAATCAGTAGAATTAGCACTATTGCAAAAGTTAATCAATTGGTTCTGGAAGATACGGTAACTGAAAAGGAAGTTCTATCAACGCCAAGTTTAGATTTCCTTGATGAACCCCCCCAAGTAATGAAAACATTACTAAATGGAAACAATTCTATGTTAAGAGGAGTTCAAGGAGCTGCTACAAATTCTGTAGGTGTCCACTCTGCCGATAACTCTTTGGAAGTAGGAAGAAGATTTAATCCAGATGGAGAATTTGAGCATAATTCATCAGCTTTAGCCCTAGATTTCGATATAGACGAGGGGACAAGGGTAAGCACTGAGCCCCATATACAATTTGAGGGTAATGACATGGATTTCCCAATAGACGATCCACTGGATGATAATGATAATTGGGATCTTGGTATCAATGAAGAACATGACGACGATTCCATCGAAGTTGGTAGAAGAGCTGAAGAACCGTTGTTAGATGAACATACTGAATTTGGATTTGATCTAGATTTAGATAAAAATGGACACGTGGGTGAACCCCTGGAAGAGGATACCGAACCTATACCCCCAAAGAGAATGTCATCAAAAAGAGTAAATGATCCTTCACTAAAAAATACAATGAATATCATTGTTGATGACAATTCTGAAATGTCCAGAAGTAACATAAATGATAACACCTCCTCCGAGACTATAAATAATGCTCCTAATAGGATCCAGCACAAAAATATGTCTCATAAAAGACTATCCCATGAAATATTGACAGATTTAGGATATCTTCATCAATCTGTTATATCTCATTTACTTCCTTATCATACCTTGAAGAAACAGAAGATCCAAGAGCCTATACAAACCACGGAAGAAATTGAAGTTATTGAAAATTCCTCACGACCAGCGTTAGATATATCTTTAGAATTAGATAGCACTAACCATATTGACGACATTGACAACATTCAGGAGGACTTTGAAGATATAGCTATTAATGATAACACCGACTTTAATTGTGAACACGACACTGGAAGTCCGAGAATTAATACCCAAGGTACAATTTTGGAAGATTCATCAAACCAAGAGGAGAGGGACACATCTACAACTTCATTGATTGAAGAAGACAACATGAAGTTAAGAAATGGTGAAGTTGCTTCCAGAGGGACAATTGAAATGGCTGAAACGTTGAGAGAATACACAAATAGTTCCGATATTGCATACTCGGATATTCTTTCACACAGGCTAGACGACTCTAATCAACCAACTAAAACAGATGCTAGTAAATGCTTCTTCGATATGCTAACTTTAGCAACATCAGGTTGTATTAAATTAGAACAATCATCTGCATTCGAAAATATCTCAATATCAACTTTGAAACCACTTTATGAAAAATTTATTCCTGTATAATTAATTATGGAAAGCTAAACCAATACTCCAATTGATCCTAACACAGATATATATTCCAAGGAAAAATATAAAATACTATGTGAACAACTGTGTACCAGGTTAAACTTTTATAAATGTACTTTTTTAAATAATACAACTGTACTTAAAAGGAGTACAGAAAACCATTTTCTTCAATGTAATATTATGTAAATTTATCAATAACATTTGTATATTAAAGCCAGATATTGGGTTAGAGAAAAGAATTGATAGTTTTTTAACAAAAGGATAAGGTCAAATATTAAATGGTAAAAAATTTAAATAGTAGTCAGATAATCCCTATTCACATTGATCCAACTAAACAGAAATCAGAAGAAATACCTGACATGGAGTTCGCAAGCGCGAAGACTAAAAAATAACGACAACTGCAGGATTTGAACCTGCGCGGGCAGAGCCCAAAAGATTTCTAATCTTTCGCCTTAACCACTCGGCCAAGTTGCCATAAAAAGTACAAAAAAGTGTATTGACTTAGAACCTATGACTCC